AAATTACGAATCTAAAAAAGAGTTTAAATAACACTGAGTGTGATTAATTGATAGTCGGTCAATTGCTCACTACCGAAATTAGAAAGTCCAAGGGATTCCCATTTCAAAAGAGGTGAGCACCTGGACTCCATTTTACAAAGATCCACAGAATTTTTTTACCCTGGGTGTACTATGACGTATTTATATCTCATAAGTGCAACAAATAAATATATATATAAAATTGATAGGTCGAGTGGATATAAAGACCACAACATTTTTCGTTTTTGTTGTGATGCAAATTGATCGAAAGTATTAAACATTAAATGGTGCTTTTCCATTACACAAACCAATTTTTTTTCAAAAAATTTAACTTGGTTCAATCTAGAAAGTCTTAGATTCATTAAGGACTGGCTACTTGCCACTTGTCAGGAAAAAACAACACCTTTTTGATCCAGTATGGCATTTCCTTGGAAAATCATTTCCATTTATGAGAACATTTGAGAATGAGTCGAAGACTATCCAGCTTCTCTTCGTCTAGGAAAACGGTTCAAAATGTTTAATAGACAACATTTTATTCGTGTTTTATTTGTAAACAATGTGCTCACTTACCCCCCCCCCCCCCCCTCTGTGCCAGCTCCCATTTCTATGGCTCAATGCTTGCAAAAAATCGATGAAATCGAAAGTTCGAAAACTGGTGTATGCGTGATCAGCCTGCTCAGTTACCCCCTTTGTGTCAACTCCCAGTGCTGTAGTTCAAAGTCTGCAGAAATCGAAAAGGTAATCAATAATTTCAAAAGTTTTTATTGGATTCGCAATCAGCATGCTCACTTACCCCCCCCCCCCCCCTTATGTCCGTAACCTCGAACTTCGCAAATCGATAAAGTCGATACCGATCGATCACGAAATGTAGCCTATTGCACCTATCTCGTCCTAATGTGTATGTATGCAAGTTTCGACCCTGATTGGTTGAAAAATAAAGATTTCTATTCAAACATACGCACGTATGGTGCATCCCCGGAATTCTTCCATATTAATCATCAACGTGGTTGTCTATCGATCATTTCAACATGTCAACTTCGAATAAGCGCCTTGAATTTGCCGGAGTTTACGTGTTAAAAAGGTTGAAAGGCAGTTATATTGATGGTTCGTAAGGGAGCTCTGGATATACAGACAGACACAAAAACAGACAAATAGACATTCATATATACAAAATAATATAAATATTTGTTTACAATGTTTTCTATAGCAAAAAGTGACCAAAATACGTACTCGCATGTCCTTTCACATTCCACTGGTGGAGGAGGAACACACTTCGGCTTCGACGGATCTGTCTTGTTACAATCATTGTAGTTGTTTTGGATATTGTAGACGTCACCTTTCGATGAAGGCTTTATTGCAGCGAAATAAATCTAGAAAGTCGTGAACACACAAATAAAGCAAATATTCGGTCATCGCATGTCTGAATGCCAAGCATACAAACAGATTTTTTCGCAACTTCAAGTAGATAAACCTTTTGCTATTGTTCAAACGCTATCTTGTAGTGCTTGCTTTGCTTTATAGAATAATGTATTTTAATTCTTTTCATGTCTTCTCTGCCGCTGTAAGAACAAGGAACGCCCATTAATTTTGCATCAAAGTAATAGATGGACTAAAAGAAGCAAAAAGTACGTATTGTTTTGTTGATTATAGTCCATCACATTCAGTTCAATAATGGTTAAAACTGTTTATTTGACTGATATTCATCAGGTTGAAGACTAAGTTTTGCATCTTTTCCACTAACTTTCCTCTCCTCAATTACAGCGCACTCGAATTCTGTTATTGCACAAGTTGACATAAGCAACAAGTGCTGTCCTGCCAAATTCTGACGTGGCAATCAGAATTACGGTAGGTTGATGGTATAAGGGGGTAATGCATTTTTTTCACAGATTTGGCTGAAATACGGCGTAGGAGGGAGAATATGCGACATGCTTATCACGAAAACGGTACTGAAATTGCATGGTAGGCGCCTTTTGTGAGATTATTAGTGTGATCGGTAAAAAATGGGGCACCTATAGAATAAATGCAGATTCCTCAGAAATGAAAAGTGATCAAACTTCCTAATTTTGATAAATGTTAAAATAAATTATTCTCTTTCCGAAAATACCTATATAAGGTCATTTACATACCTATAATTTTTATAGTGGTTGAAATGCAAAATTAGTCACTTTATCAAATTATAAACTTCGGGCAATATCTGCGCAGTGAAACATGCGAAACCATCCAAAGTACCACTGCTGCGATGCGTGAAGGTGCAGTCACCAGACCCACGATGGGCTGCTAGACTCAACTTTCAAATTCAGCAGATATGGTCATTAGCAGCTTTGAGAACAAAGATAAGTGCTACTCAATTGTTTGCAGGTGAACGCATGTCTTATAGGTACCATCTAAAAGAGCTTTTAACTCTCTCTCCATCCACATGCAGCTTACCTCACATTTTATCTATCTTTGAAATATACAGACTGAAACTTGATTTTTGTTGCGCCAAAAAATCGTGATTTTTCAGGTGTTTCGCTTTTTTACCCAGAAATAGAAAGAAATCCTGTATGCTTAATATAATGTTTGAAAGAGCATGAAGAGCTCTTTCAAATGGTGTATCAAATGCTCTATAACTTTACGGTATGGCAGCGCAAGAATGAGCGATGTTCAAAAAACCTTGTTCGAGTTCTTTAGGGCGCCACGCGTAGGCTTGTAGGAGAGGAGCGTTGACGCTTTGTCAGAATAATAGGCGAAGGTCGCTGATGTAATCGACGTTTAAGTTGCGGCCTGCTTGCTGTTGATCGAAACAAAAAATCCCAAAATTTAATAGAAATTAAGCTGCATTTTTTATCGATCACCCTAATAGTTGCTCATGGTACGTGGTGGTCTCTTGCTAAGAGAAGAAAGATAGGTTAATTTTACAGTAAATATGATTTTCGTGTTCGGCAGAGAACCTCACTATGTGAAGTCTTGGAGACTTACAACCTTTTAGTCACTGACGGTTGCTTCCAGCAGCCTTGCGTAAGGGAAAGTGCTGGAAACAATCATCAACATACTAGCTCAACTTCATGAAGGTGCCAGATCTTTGCTTGTCGTCATACCATTTTTTTATTATTAAATCAACTTCTTGCAACAATTCCTGGACAATTTTGGATCATCATGCATGGTCTAGGTTGTGAATGCAAAGGGCTGCATTGTTATGAGTAACCCCATATATCCTCGAACTCTCTAGTTTTCGAGAAATGCTTACAAAGGAGGTCCGTTTGCTCAAAGTGGCCTTTTCACATGAAATTGATACGATTGTAAAGAGCATTGAACGCTGATTCCAAAAGCGCTTCTGGACGTCGGGTTATGAGCGTTTTTGAGTTGAAAGAATGAATGCCTAATTAAAACAAAATTGGTCAGAATTGCCAAATGGTCTAATGTCGAGTATCAAAGCACTCCATTTGAACAATACCTTTTGTCCAAAACACTCATACTAAACAATGCTCTATTTGAGCACTGGAAAGCACAGGTTGAGAATTTTCTCACCCCCTTTTACCCCTGAGCCGGGACCAAGGACCCCTTCATCAGAAGCCGAGGAAAAAATCAATAGTGGGGTAAGGTTAAGCAAAGGAGATATTTGTATATGAATTGTTTATGTATAGGAAAGGAGGAGTCTGTTGAAAGAAGTGCTTGGTGACGGGTGTGAGTAGTGATTTCTGGACATTTTCGAGTTTTTAACAAAGAATTCATAGCTTTTGCAGATGAACGTCTTTACGGCGAGGTGGTTACCGTTAGAACGGACTTGTCCTCCGCTTTCAGATGATGTACAGCTTGTCTCAGATCCTTCCAAAAAACTGCCTGGGTGAAGGGTGTGCTCAGTGATCTCTGGAGATTTTCGAGTTTTTGACATGAAAAAATTCATAACTTCTATAGATGAAAATTTTTTATGCCGTGATGGTCACCTTGGAACCGTCTCGTCCTCCGCTTTCAGAAAATATATACTTTGCTTGAGGTCCGTTAAAAAAAGTGCTTGGGTGAAGGGTGTCCTAGTGATTTATGGAGATTTTCGAGTTTTTAGCATATGAAAAATTCATAACTTCTGTAGATGAACATTTTGTACGCCGTGATGGTCACCATTGGAACCGTCTCTCCTCCGCTTTCAGAAAATATATACTTTGCTTGGGGTCCGCAAGAAAAAGTGCCCGGTGAAGAGTGGGTGAGAAGAGTGGGTGAGACTTTCATAATGGGAGTGCTTAAGTAGTCGTCTTTTTACAATGGTAAAAAAGCCTGTACCTGAGCACTCTTATTATAAAGGTCTCACCCACCCTTCACCCGGCACTTTTTCTAAAGGACCTCAGGCAAAGTATATATTTTCTGAAAGTGGAGGATGAGACGGTTCCAATGGTGACCATCACGGCATAAAAAATTTTCGTCTACAGAAGTTATGAATTTTTTTATGTTAAAAACTCGTAAATATTCAAAAATCATTACCCACATTCTTCACCAGGCATTTTTTCAACAGACTCCAGGCAAACTATATATTCTCTAAAGGCGGAAGACAAGATGGTTTCAAAAACATTTCCCTTGCTGACGTTGCTGTTCATTTACAAAAGTTACGAGTTTCTTCTTTTAGAAAATTCGTAAATGCTTAAAAATTAAAGCTCCATTTTAATCAGGTACTCAGTAGTCCACAGCTGATCATAAGATATGAGCAGAGTGCATGTTTGCAAGGTATTCCATATGATTCCTTGATCAACTGAAACACCCTTCATCCGCAGGGGCTGCGACCGCTGTGACACCTTCACTCTGGAAGGGTCATTCTCATCTTATCGCAGTGCTGGAAAGATCGTTGATTTTACCCAGATCATGCGGTCATTATCCGCACCAAAAGGATAATCAAAAATCGGAATGAAATCAGATTTGGTATCGCCGTTTGATGTTCTCCAAAGTAATAAGACCCATTTGGAAAGGCCACTTCAACTAATCGGATCCCTTGTGTCGTGCTCAAAAATCAAACAGTTTGTGCGCAGTCGTAGCAACATAGAGTAAAGTCATGAAAGAGGTTGCAAAACTTAGTTTCCGACCTAATTTTATCATAATTTCAGTAACTTATTGCTCTCTCACCGCTATCCATATACCAGATGTGAGAACCAAGACGGCTGCAGCAGTAATAGCATGTCCAAATAAGTTGGCAATAGCCATGCCTGAAATGTCCATTGCAAGTATAAGAAAACGGATGTGATAGGATTAGGTGGAAGAGAAAAGTTCTAAGCAGGGGAAAATATTAGGTTGCTGCATAAGTTCTGTCCGATTTAAATTTTTTGTGTACAAAACGTCGTAACATCTTTCAAAGTCAACTTTTCTCTATGATCTTACTTTCTATGTGTTGAGCAGTTCCTTGGATATGAAACACATATCAAGACCTGCGCAAATCCTTGTTAAGGAAGAAGCAAGAATGCAAACCTTCACAGCGTTTTTTTCAAACCTGTCTTTTTTGACATGGCAACGCTCCCTTATGAGAATTGATAAACGTCTTATCTAACGATGGATGGATAGAGAAATTTGCGTAGATTATTATGCTACCTAAAAGAGCCCAAAGGGTCTGCGCTGCCGAGAGATTTGTTTGATCGAGCAAAAAAGAAGCCACTTTTTGACCTTGCTTCAGCACATATGTGCATGCCTATATACGAATTATGAAAATTTTACAACTGAGGTGAGCGCCAAAAAGGAACTGGTGGATGGGCCCTGTTACTCTTGCTTTGCCCTAGCACTTCCAAGTTTGAGCTTATCGATTACTTCTATTCGCAGAAAGTTATTGCTTGTAAAACATCTATACAAAAAATTAATGTTTGACGATAAATTTTACTAGCAAGACATTTTCTTCATAGAACCAAACTTCTGCATATACTAGCCTTCTACACCCTTATTCCGTAGTCAACGAAAGAACTTGATTCGAAGGGCGACTGCGGAGATTTCCTCGTAAGAACATATTAGGTTGGCACGAAAGTTCTTGCGTAATTCAAACAAAATTCAATAACTTTCCAAAGACTTAACCTAAATTCACAATCTTGTATGCTAAAAATATTAGAGGTCCTACGCTTCATAATGGATGTTTAATCATAAGATTCCGTGAGCTGGACATCAAGAACGAAGCTCTCGAATATGGGGCTTCAAATTTCGCGATTTTGAGTTTGGTGCCAGAAAATCGCAGAGTGCCGCTAGCTATCCGAAAAAAATTTGCAGAATTTAGTTACACAACGAAAGTCCATATGTAACTTTGGAAGGCTTTGATCTTGCACGGTGAAGCAAAAACAAAAAATTCGTGAAATAAGTCATTTTGTGGAAAAAATCCTCTCATGTCCGCAGTTTTCCGGCGAAAACACTTTTTTTACAATCGAGAAAACGTCGCAAGGCTCTAAATAGGCACTATGTCTAATTTCTGGTTGCAAACTGTGTTTCTGTGGAAAAGTTAGTGCGATGAGGGGATTTGTCCTGTGAAATGAGAATTTTCACAAATTTTTTGTTTTCGCGTTTCCATGCGAGATCAAAGCCTGCCAAAACAAGGTATGGACTTTTGCTGTGTAAGTAAATTCTACAGATTTTTTTTCGGCTAGCTAGCGGCACTCTGCGATTTTCTGGCACCAAACTCAAAATTGCAAAATTTGAAGCGCCTTATTCGAGAGCTTCGTTCTTGATGTCCAGCTTACGGAATCTTATGCTTAAACATCCATCATGAAGCGTAAGGCTTCTAATATTTTCGGCATACAAGATTGTGAATTTAGGTTTAGTCTTTGAAAAGTTATTGAATTTTGTTTGAATTACGCAATAACTTTCGTGCCAACCTAATATTTCTACGGTGAAAACGTACCTTGGTCACTTGGAGATTTTAGGCCTGAAACCTCCCTACACTAAGAAATTTACTGAAGTCTGACATGCGCTAGAAAGAGCAAGGAAAGCACTTTCCAATGATACTAACAGTACTGCATTAGGGATGAAATTCTCTTAGAACAGCTGCTTCAAACGCAAGGCAAGAAAAAATCGAACAGAACTTATGCAGCAACCTAATATATGGGCTGTATTCTCACTTCGCTTTGTTGAAATTTTTCTCGTACATTTAGAGTGGCATCTTGTTTATCAAGCAATAAAAGTTAAACATCTTATTTATCAATTAGCCACATTTATCGGCTAAGAGTGTCACGTCAACATCTATTTTATCTTTGATTTTTACATGTACGGCCTGGAAAAGCAATGCACAAGCCATAGAGTGTTAGCCTATATTCACAAGTTCAAGGAGCAAACTTTTTTTCTAAAACTGACCAACGCCAAGACGCAAAAGGATTTTGCGGCGATTCTATACTTTGCTGACTGAATAAAAGAGTCTACAACATAAGTATTGTTTTCAAAACTCGATGAAGAGGGTGAACGGCTCTCTTGGAAAAATCGAAAAAGCTGCGCTTTGTCCTGAATACTTGCATGCCTTGAGGCAGAATACCAGCGAAGGCAGTGATACTATAGTGTGGACCACGTCAGCTTCTCACATGTACCTCCGCGCTCATCGGATGCCTTCGGTGCGTATTTCGTCCCAGCCTCCAGTAATTTTTATGCGTTCTCTTTACTAATTTTGTTCTTTCTATCTCTTTATTACAAAATTAAATGAACTACAACAGCTAATGGTGATTAGTTTTTACGAGTCTTGAACTTGAGCGCCTTTGTCTCGGAAAGTTCGCGTTTCTTCCTCGGTAGTGAAGACAGAGTGTATTTCGTGGAGATTTATCTTTAGATTTAGATTGCGAACGTTCTATCCGATGAGTTTGAGCTTACGATTCTCGGGGGGGGGGGGGGGTATTACAGGAAGAAACGTTTCATAAATAATCCTCTGTACTTCTACGATTCCCACCCATTTCTGGTAGTATCATGCTGGTATCCACGAGACTGACTAAAACTAAGCGTTAGTGGAAGTTGTAAACGTTCTTTTCTGCTCGAGCTTCTCTAGCTAAGAACAGAGTGTTTCAATTCTTACTTCGTTCCTAAAAGCTTTTTTGTTCATAAGTGCGATAAGAAGCGTCAACACGTTGCGTGTGCGCCCCGGAGGTACCTATGGGAAGCTGGCTGGGGCACACACTGAACATCTAGCGATGCATCTCGTTGGTTCCTGAACACTAAATCGTGTGTCCGCAAATCGCGATTTCCGACCAGCGGAAAATTTAAAAGAAGACTCCAAGATTTTCATTTTCATACAGAGCACAGCACATACAAACAATTTCACATATGCTGAGTTTTTTGCGTATGAAAATTAAAAAATATATATTCGAAATATCAGGTTGATGCAAAAGGAATTGCCGATTTGCGAATTCTCAATTTGACGTGCTATAACTTTCTAAAGAATCCACATTTCTGAATGCGGTAAAGACATTCAGAAGCAGCAAATCTTTCGCAATCCAGCGCATACTTAATTATACTCAAACCATAAAAGGGAAGAGAAATACGGATTAAAAGACAAAGAAGGTTCTTCTGCTAGAACCTTGTTTTTCAATTCATAACTTTCTTCAAAGTTTTTTAGTATAGATGATAAGTGGCCTATCTTGTAGCCACAAGCCAGTAGTGCAAAATGCATTAAAAAGAATTGGGACAAAAAAGTTTGCGAAACAGAGAAAAATTGAAATTTAAAACTTCTCAGTTTATTTAACTTTTTTCACTGTGCCTCAAAGTCCGGAATATGGAATTTGCTGATTTTCTACGTACTGAACAGCTGGATGTTTTTGCAAAAACTGTTAATAAGTGTCCTAGCCCTACGCTTACAGAATTGAGGAAAGCTTCGGCGACTGACTTCCTCAGAAGAAAATTATGGGTCATAAAATGACCGCAACGGCTACTCAAGTTTGGGCGCCGATATCTCAGTCTGGATAAGTTCAAAGAATGCAGCTAAGTACATATAATGTAGACAATTTCTATTACATACAAGAGCTAAATTTTCAAAGAAATCCCATTATATGGGCTTAAATTCTGGCCGGAAAAGTGAATGCAATGAAATTCTGAATTTGGATGCGGTTATTTGAAGCTCAGTAACTTTACAAGAAATGATGAAGATGAGAGCCCGTTTTAAGTACCATTAGATAGAGCATGAAAACAGCATCGCGATGGTATACTACATCTATTGTAAAGAAGAAGAATTGATGGGGAAAAGTTGCCCTGAAAAAAGGCTTGGAAAATCGGCCATTCCTTTTGCACCAACCTAATAACAAATGCCGTCAAATACTCAGTCCACTCATGTAAATTTGTTACACAGACATTTGGAAGTAGTGTCCTCGTACTGCAGTACTGCACTTCCTAAGAAACATCTCTTAACTCAAAACTCGAAAAATCGACAATATAATAGTTACGAATAAAAAGCTTGACACACTAATAGTGTTCGAAATGTTGTGCGCTAAAGGCACTTTACGATGAGTATAAGGCGTAAACTTTTCAGCCTAGCGTGTCGAAAAGCGTGTTCACTATCAGTGCGAGTGAGAAAGATTAACGATAAAGACAACAGTGCTGGTGCCTTATCATTACACCAGTTAAGTAGTTGTTAAGACTCACTGAATGGTGTAAGTGTCAAATCACACTTCAACTAATTCCAGCTCCATGTTATGGTAGCAGAAGAAGCACTTTGCCATCACACATCTTGTACCTTATAGCAAGTTAGATGACGCGCTATGAAAAAAGATTACCTCGAATAAATGGGTTGAGGAGCGGATCACTGCCATCTTAGGATTGTGCTTAACATCCTTGCTCGGGAGGGATTACTTCTTAAAAGAAAGCTTCGTTTCTGATGCTCCCGATATCTGATTCAAGTTTTTCAACCAGACTCGATAATTCCTACCAACCTTTCGTCACAACCATATTGATCAGTAGCGAGAAGTTGTACAAGTCGCATCTTGCGGCTTTTTGTGAGATCTCTGACGAGCCCCTCATGAGCTCGAATAAAAAGCTGGAAAACGCGGTTTTACATCGGTGCCCTCCTTTTCAATGCGTTCATAATAAAGGGTGATAGCAATACTTATGAATGGATAGACAGCGTGAAAGATATCCGAGACTTCAAGATATTAGGATGTCCCAAAAGTTCTTCTGGTTCTTTAATCGGTCATCAAAACTCAAAGAACACTGATGGAACGACTTAGCCACCGTTCAGTTGAGTTTTCTAGCTCTTTCTAAAACTACATTTTTTGCAATGTTATCGCCATGGCTTTTTGAGCAGCTTAACAGTGACGCCAATTTTTCCCTAAGTTTTAAAAAAGTTTGTCGAAATATTTTCGAAACGCTATAACAGTTACAGAGTACGGTAGCCTTTACGATACCTTTAGATTACATAAATCAATCAGGGTTTTTGCGCACGTTTAGCGCAAAGGGCACCAATAATTTTGAAAAGGTGATTTTTTTGAAAGCAGCTTGATTGTTTTGCAAAAATGATGCTTAAAATAAATTAAGCTCCAACTCGCAGAAACTTGTAAGGTCTCCTATTTTGTTGCAGTTCCGTGTTTTATAACTTTACTGAAAAGCGACACCTTCACCGAAATAATTTTTTGAAGTTCAAAAGCAGATCAGAAGAACCTAAAAGCACTGCCCCATGCTCCAGAATTTTCTTTATTCGATACTTACATATTTTTCTTCGAAAGTACAAAATAAATTTTTGAAAATTAGCCAAACTTTCACAGATAGAAATGAAGGGCGAAGAATTCGACAATAGTCTGAAACTTTTAGGAGATTATAATTGGAAATTAACCAACAGAAAGAAACGGAAAAGGTGCATCGAACACTTATGAACACGCCTTGAGTAATTTTCTGTACGGGATTTGGTAATCGCCTAAAAATCCGACAAAGCTTTAGGAACAACGTAATATAAAGCTTTCTTCTAGTTGCATTGCATGCGGCCCTTGGTCTACACCTCAGCATGTCTGCTGCAGATATAAATAATTGTTTCTGACCGTTCCTCCCCTCTCCCTTCCCTCTAAAGTCATAAACAATCCTTTCCGATCGTGAATTGTCAAAGTGTTTTACTCAATTCCCTAATTCATAACCTTGTTCTTTCTAAAATGGAACTTTATTAGGTCAATTTTGTTTGTTAGTTTTCCGCAAGCTCGCTGGCAAAGAAGTGGTCATTACAGTTTCTAGAGAAAGCAAGGTTATAGCACTTACCGCATTTCCTGACAGGCTAATACTGATTCTAGTAGTTGTCATACGATATTATGCCAGTGCCAGGTTTGTACGGTGGAATTCTTTATTGGCCTTACATTTCGACAAAATCGTCTTCGTCGGAGGCCTGAAAGTAGACTGCAGTGTTATCTGTGGGACCAGACCGCCAAACGCCTCCCCCACCGCCGAGTCTAGACCACGCTCCGCACTCAACGTATGGGGCATATTGATGAAAAGAAGAATCTTTATCCACCGTGGTGATTGTGAGAGTCAATAGAGTCAGTACTTAGCCGCACTGAAGAGACAGACTACACTGAGTCTTGTTTTATGATCGACACTTATATATGTACAGACCATCGCTCACAGATCGTTAAGATAGGCGGTTGTTATTGATATGCATTCATTTTCATTGCTCATGCTAGGATTTCGAAGGAAAACCCTTGAAGGCTTTCCTCACTGTAATCTCTGCCTCATGTGACAAAATAGTGCACTTAACGTCAAATTCACCGCTGTGCGTTTCTATCCTGTCTTCCCAAAGGTGACATTGCATTTGCTCGCCTTTTCGCCGCTAGATGCTCCTTCAGTCTAGCATTTAGCAATCTAACCGTCTCTCTGATATATGTCACCTTGATGTTCAAGCACTCCAATTCATACACTACTCCTGCCCTCGCGCAATCACCTACTTTTCCGTATAGGCAGACAATACATTGCTCTGATAGACATTCTGCATCATAGAGCCTGTTCCTTAACCAACTGCTTCTCGATGTTCTTATTCGAATTGTTCACAAGCATAACATCATTTTGCAGTTGTGCTCGCCTTATATTAGGGTGAACGGTAAAAAATGGGACACTCACGATATAACTGGAGGTTTCTTAAGAAAGAGAAGTGATTAGACATTCCAATTTTGCTAGATGTTAGAATATGTTATTTCTCTTTCGATAATAACTATATAAGGTCATTTACATAATTAATAATTTTTATACTTGCTGAAATGCAAAGTTAATCACTTCGACAAATCATGTGAGCAGTATCTGCGCAGAGAAACATGTGAGACCACCCAAAGTACCCGTAATCGAACCCACGACGGCCTGATGGCCTCAACTTTCCAAGTCAGGAGATATGGCCATTAGCAGCTTCGAGAACGAAGATACGCGTTATTCAGTTCCTTCCATGTGAACGCACGTTTTCTAGGTAACATCTGATAGAGCTTTTTATGCTCTGTCCATCTATGTGCAGCTTGCCTCAGATTTTATCTATTTTCGGAAAATATAGGGCAAAACATGATTTTTTTTGTTTTTCATTGCGCCAAAAATAGCTATTTTTCAAGTTTTTTCGCTTTTTTTCTGAAATTGAAAAGAAGTCTTAAGCATTCAACATATAGTGAAAGAGCATGAGCTCTTTCGAATGGTATGTCATTTGCTTTACGAATTTACGGTATAGCAGTGCAAGATTGAGAGTTGTTCAAAAAAAACCTGGCGGAGTTCTTCACGACGCCACGCGTACGGTTATGAGAGGGGCGGTAACGCTGCCAGAGTAATAGGCGAAGGTCGGTTGTGTAAGCGGCATTTGAGTTGCAGCCTGCTTTTTATTGGTGACGACAAAAAATCTCAAAACGTAATAAAAATTAAGCTGTCCCATTCTTTACCGTTCACCCTAATATTAGGTCGTTCCGAAAGTAATGTCGCTTTTTTTAATGAACTCCACAGATCGCGGAAGCAAGTTTTACAGGACATCTTGGTAGTATTCGATGCAGAATTTCATTCTCTTTCTAATGGTTGTATGAGCATTGCACAATACTCGATGAGCTCCAAAAATAATTACCGAAATCTGCGAGCCATGCTTTTTGAGAAGGTTAAGTTTCTTGATTTTTTCAAAATCTTTACAGCAATCCTCCGGAGGAGTCCAAGCAACATATGGATTGAGCAACCCTATAGGAAACAGCACGATTTTTTTTTTACCTTCCAGGGCTCGTCATAATTTTTGTATAGATTTTTGGATGGAAGTACCGAATTTTGGCAGGCTCGTCTCAGACACAAATGCATTGAACACCAATAAACCTTCGGATTTTGAAACTTTCAAAGATGGATCGGATTGACACTAATTTTACAAACCAAGTGAGCATTCACCGCTTCAGATTAGCCACTTTCGAAATTTCCGGGCACACCTGGGGCGCCCTAGAAAACCTGAATTATGATAATTTTATCCCGGAAAACTTGATGAATCGAAACCAGAAAACAAGTTAGAAAGAGGAGAAAAAGCTGCGTCGAATGACACCCGAATTGCTTGCCGGTTGTTGTTCTGTGAGGTTTAAGATGACCAAATATGGAATTTGATGGCATTGAAAAATTGATTCCAGAAACTCTAAGAAACAAGTTAAAGAAAATGAAAAATTATTTTGTGTCCTATAGGGTTTGCTCTATTTACCTGTCAATTGCACTTCTTCGAAGAATAGTTACAAAAATTTAGAAAAATAGCCGAACTTGACCATGGCAAAAAGCATAAGTCGCAGATTTTGGTAGTTTTCGAGAGCTCATTGAATATTGTGCGATGAAATTACAACCATTAAAAAGAGAATAAAATGTTGCATCGAATGCTTCTAAGTTCTCTTGAAAATCTTGAATCCATGAAATGTGGCGTTCATTCGAAGAAAGCGACATTACTTTCGGAACGACCTAATACATTGTTTAATTGCTGCACTGTTTATCGGAAATGAAAGGCATACACAAGAGCATTTTGTTATCATCCTGAGCGTGGCTACTGTTTGCAAACTTGGAAGCGCAGCTTAAACGTTGAAGTGACCATTGCCACGCGCAATTCTTTCAATGCTTTCTTGCATTTCTTTCAAAAATTTGTGAAAACGGCAAAGTATGAGGTGTTCGTATAACTACAAAGCGATCTTTATTAAAGTTCATCTCCACATTTGCTCGAATTTATCCGACATGATTTCTTGATGAGCAGCGCACTTCGCATCCTTACCATTCTGACTTCCATCCAAAATGCATAAGGCACACATAGCATCTTTACCATCCTAACTTTCATTCAAAATGTATAAATATTAGGGCTCGGAGCTGGTACCAGGGAATTTTTAGAACGAAGTTTTATTTGATCCTGAAAATTTCTTATATAGTCCCCTTTGACCATAAACCCTAACCGTAAAAAACTGCAAAAAAAACAAACGTCGATTATAAATGTCGCAATTTCTAAAACTTTGTGACCCAAAAACGATATCCAGCTTGACGCGGTGCCAGCTGTGCCAGCTCTGATAAAATTTCTTATGAAATTTGAGCAATATAGTCTGAATATATTTGCTCAAATTTACCTCTGACATGACTTCCTGTTGATGAGCAGCGCAATTCGCAGTTTGTCCATTACGAAATTACAATAGGAATGATTTACAAAACTTTTAACATGTGACATCTGATAGCGAGAGTGGCTCATTTTCAATAGGGGTCACTCGCTTCAGGCAACTTTGGAATGGGAGCAACAAAGTATCAGAGCATGAGTTTACTTTAACACTTTTCATTATGAGCAGTGCGAGCCTCCGCGAAGCACAAGTGAAGCACTGGTGAAAGATAAAACGTGATTCCTTCATCATCCGCATACATGAGCTTTGGGGAGGGCGGATGTCTTTAAGCTACTTTGCCGAAATTTTATCGATGGCACTATCGAATTGTTCATTCTTACAATTAGCATTTTGCGCTCCCAATGGCTTAAATTGGCAGAATAGGTAGATGAGGATGCGGATTGCCAGTGAAGTATTTACTAGTTTTCTAATGGATCTTCCTTTTTCATTTACTGACTGTTACACACTTAGCACGACATCTAGTTATAATTATAGTTTATTTCAGAGATAGTGATATACATGGCATTGCCATCTCATCAAGTGAGTGTTGTGTGTCATAACGTTGTGGTTTTATTCGTTGTCTTCCCATAAATGTCGAAATCTGATAAAGGGGTCGTGTAGTCCGAATACCAATCTCTTTCAAAGATCTGAACAAATTTTGGTAAAGCAAGTAATTCTCTAAACTTTGCACCAGTAAACTTCTTACGCACTTGTTCAAACTGATTTACTATAAACGACTGCTGACTAGAGTCATCAGATTTTACCACTACTCCAATGCCAGCTGTGTACCACCAATAATCAGCCGACCAGTTTGAAGTTCCTAAAAATGTCTTGTGAAAGAAATCATCACAGTAATCGTAGACAAAATTGCAGGATTCTCACCAACATATACGGCTTTTTCAGTGACGAAATACTTATTATGGTAGACCCTAGAGTACGGTATGCCACCGTATTCCATGTCAGGTACTTCAATAATTCTGACATCTATGGATCCCCTTTTAACACACTTATTATCTGTAATTTGGAAATTTACGAAAGCAGTACTGCATTTTTTTCATTTCTACGGTGCTCCCTTTGTTTAAAATAAATAAATAAATAAATAAATATATGTATGATAAATCTTACGCACTTTCATAAACACACGGTAATTGACTGCTAATATCTGCTAACGAATGTAGATAAGAAAAGTATTTGGCTGCCGTGTGGGACCACTTCGAAAATAGAAAGCGGACCTAGAAAGAAGCTATCTAGATAGAGAATGCGCATTATAATGCTCGGAATCTTATTGCTAGTCTGAAATAATACGTCTGCCAAACAAATGCAAGTCTTCTTGATCAAGCCTGAAACAAAAATCAGTATGATTATTTTTCTATGCCCACGTGCTGTCGGCTCTCTTCGTTGGAATTTGAACTTGAGCAGAATTAGACCGAAATACTCACCTTGACTTGTCTGTCGAAAGCAGCTCTGCGAATAGCCTCGTCTAATTTGCCGAACCATCTAAAGAGCAGGTTTTAGCCAACGATAACGATCTATTTGGTGAAAGGTACTGTTGTTACAAACAAATTATGAGCAACTACTCGGAAAAACTTAATTCCAGGTTTTTGAAATTGATGCAGAATCTACTTACTGCAGCTTTTTTCACACGCATAAAAAAGTTTTCTTTACACACGCGGTGAAGAACAGTGAATTAATAGTACTGAAGAGATAACCTACCGATTTAATGGTTTGATATAAAGAGTAGAAGGAGCGTAATTCATTACGGCCATGTCCAGACTGACCTGTAACAGGAGCGATCTCAATATTCAAAGTGAATCACATAAGCATTTTTCAAACTCAAGTTGTGCTTGATTTTAAGATTAAATTACCTGGGCTTCATCTATAAGTTTCAACATTGCGTCGAGATCATCTTCTCTGCCACAAGACCGGAATCCTGGAGGTGCAGCCTGTATTGAAAATTTTGAGGGCTACTTATATCAGAACAAGTGTGGTTGCATTATAATATAATACGGAGATTCTACTCACCGATATGTAAACAGCTTGATCTCCTTTCTGTTGTGGCACCGATGTGGGTCTTTCATGATATGCCGATGTAGACAAGGATTCGGGCCATCTGTAAGGACGGGTAAACTCTAAATTATAGATCAGAAATTATTGTAATTTGTAAGGAAGAAGGAGCGTTTTGATCAAATAAATTATCGGATAACTTGACCTACGCGCGCCAAGAGCGCTTGTCGATTGTTTTTGTTCAGTAGTTTTCGGTTGGTGTCGACAGGGAGCGGCGGTGGCCGCATTGTTATTATTTTATTTCTGTTCTTTTTCTTCGTGAGCCTTTTCTAGTACTGCCCACAAGGCAGGCTTGTGCTTTTCCAGTGTTCTTTTTCTTCGTTAGTAAAGTTTTTCGTTATTCTTCTGTAGCAAATCCTTTCACCCACGTGGCCCGCCACCCAAATTATATTTTTACATGGGGGCCGAACAAATTTGAGCACGGGAAACAATTTTTTTGCAAAACTTCTTGTCGGGGGAAATTTTGCATCGTTGTGGCGTGGACTACTGGGTTAATTATTGTGCTGGTCGATCCACAGGTCATCTGTGGAAGACCATTGAGCACATACGGGTACAAGAGCCTCTGGTCGAGGTGGTACCTGGAAATCACCGTGAGGTGAGGTGCCGGTTGGATCCACAGTTGTCTGTGGAACACCGTAAGGCACACTCAGGTACGAGAACCTCTGGACGAGGGGGTACCTACACACCACCGTGGGTGGGAAGGACTTGCTAGAAGCAAGAACCTTCATTGAGTGAAGCAGGAAGCTGCCGTGAAGCCCTGCTCGATTGATTGATAACGGAAAAGGCTGATTCTTTTCTGTTTCAGAGCATGGCGGAATCCATGGATGAAGAAATGGAGGCCATGATCCTCATGGACGAGGAGGGCAAGCGCATTGAAGATCTTCAAGCGCAAATTGCCGGATTGACGCAGCAAGTGCGTCAGCTAGTGGAAAAGCAGTCTCAGGTATGCGTTGTACCTGTCAAAATGGGCGAATACATAGCAGAAATTCGCAGCCTTGTGAATAAGGGTAAGCGAAAAGGCGAAGCTAGGAAAAGCCCTAGAAGCACTAGCGCCGATTGTCTGCAAATAGATAACGCCTGTGAGGGACTGCAAGTAGAAATTAGAAAAATTGAGCAGCTGTTTGAAGAAATAAATAAGCTCAAAAATGTGGCCGTGGATCAACTAGAAAAAGACTTAGTTGAAATTCTAGAGCAAGCGCAGTTTGATGACGGTGCGATGAGAAAGCTGTCACAACTTCTTGCGGTAGACTCAACCCAAGTGGTAGCAAGCGTACAGCGCATCCTCGGGTTAGGGGTCGACAACTCGCAAGTAGAACAGCCGCGTACAGATGGAGAAGAATTAAGAGCTAGAGCTACTGTACATATTCTTCAGAGCCGTGGCGAGGGACAGTCGAGTGACAGCGCACCACCCAATTTTCAAGACGCGCTGAAGCAGTTACGTACCAATGAAGTCCCTAAAGACTTGCAGCTGGCCGAATTTGACCCAATCGCGGCCGCAAGAGGTGATTATTCGCGCGATAGAATCGCGCCAGTAACACAAAATAGGCGTTATATATTGCCACAGAGACAAATGATTCCTCATTTGCAGAGAGAGCAGCCCGCGAGAGAGCCGCCAAAGCTGCCGGAATCCTTCTCCAAGAAGTCGAGGAGGATTTGCCAAGGTAGGAATGATACACTTACTTCTGAAATGGGGTTGACAAGTGTAGTATGTTCCGCGTTCACCGCGATGGCTCTGCCAGAGGTCCCAGTATTTGATAACGGGCAAGGAAAAGGGTTTGACAAATTTCTGCGCTCTTTTATGATCAAATATGGAGGATTAAACTTGGGGGATGAAATGCTCATCCACTTGTTGTGTTCGAAGTTGTCGGGACAACCTCGCGTGGTGGTGGAGACTCTTCCCCTAGAAGTTCGGGAGGGAACGTTCCAAGAATTTGTGGCTGCGTTAACAGCCAAGTTCAAGGAAAACGAGTCTGCCAACAGGATGGAGGCATACATTAGCCTCAAAAACATCCTTTACTCTGGGAGTATCTCAGAGTACTGTGTTCGGCTAGAACAGCTGACAAGGGCAGCCTACCCCGAATCGTCGGAAAGGGAGCTTTCCATTCTGCGCACTGGAGAGTTGATTGCACAACTCACGGACTGGCCGGAGTATGTTCAACTCTTCACAGAGGTAGAACAAACTCCCGCGGAAGAAGCCTACGAGAAGCTCAAAGCCCTTGCACAGCGGATAGAAAGGAGTAGGGAAGTGGCACTGCACTTGAAGCAGGAGGCCACAAGCAAGCCCAAACGGCTTCCGCAAGGACAACAAGCGACACAGGGGCGCGAGCACATGGGTCAAACGATAGTGGAAATGGAGCTCCAAGAACGCGACGGTCACGAAAATCCCAATCACATGCAGCAGAACAGATCAAAAGACCGAGAATTGCTCTGTTACAACTGCAAAAAGCCTGGACATTTAAAAAGGGATTGTAAGGAAACTCCAACCATCCAGTATACTCCCAGGGGTTTAAGGGAGGCGTCACAAGGAGGCAGAGGCGACGCCACAAATGAACGTGATGCAGGATCTTTTTCCACCGTACTGCGGCACTGGGCATGCAGTACTGTCGCAAGGAAGAAAGCTAGTGATCTAGTGGGCAGCCAGACACTAGAAACGGTGAAGTTTCTTGGCCTGAAAAGGGAAGCACTGGTAGATTTTGGATCACAAATCAGTATTATGCCTCTAGATCTGCTGTTGACAGCACAGCAAAAAGGATCTGACCTAGATGGAGATGTGGAACAGATTCCGCGACAGGAATATCCACCAGTTTACGATGCTTCCGGCAATTTGATGAGATTTAAAGGTGCCATTCGTCTGACCTTAAAAATACCCAACGGATCTCGATGCCGAGCTGCCTTCTTTGTTAGAAAAGGAGGAGATAACAGGGTAGTGCTGGGGACAAATATCCTGCACGCACTCGGCTATTCGATCCGCAGAGGAGGTCAGCCCTGCAAAGGCGAGCGGAAATCACCACACCAACAAGGGGGATGGCAGAGCAAGCGTGCTAGAAATCCCATGAAGGGTATGGAAGCGCGGCAGGGTAAAGTAGCTGCATGCGCCTACAGCAGGCTTCGTGGAAGCAAAGGAGTGGAGCTGACTAAGCAGACCGGACGGACACAGGTGTTGCGGTCTAGCATTGCGTTAGTTCCCGGTTCACATTGCAACACTGCAAACGGTGCAGTAAGAAGCTCCCTTACGAATATATTGGCACCGAAAATATACCGTGTCGGTAAAGTTGTAGAGCGGATTACATCAAATCCACAGAGAATAGTGCCTCGTCCTCTTCAGCGACCAAGGGAAAATAGAAATGAATCGGTGCGGAAGCAGAAATTCTCTTTCAGAGACAGCAGAGTCAACGAGAGACCGTTGACTTCAGGCGACCGGGTGATTATGAAGGTGCCTATGGAGAAAGCTCCATCAGAACAACCTAAACTGGTCAACGGTTGGACAGGGCCTTCTGAAGTGAACAGATTGAGGGGAAGTAGTAGCTCCTCAATCAAGAAGATAAAGGCGAATGATAAGCCTGAGCGCGTTCCGGACCAGCTAAGTAAGCCCCAGCCCCAGAATGTTGACAATAACCCTGTAAGGTCAACTAAGGGCAAAGCAAGAAGGGGTAGACTTAGAAAAGTTGCAAATTCGAACTCCAAAGTTTCGTGTTGCAGAGTCGAGGTCGGAGAGTCGATGGACCTGCTACAGTGTTTTCATCCTTGCGAATGCGGTATTCGCGAGGAACGTGCCAACATGGCGCTAGCAGGCGACGCCAAGGACATGGATCGCCATGAACCAATGGAAGACGCGATCCAGAAACTGAATCCCGCGACGTGGCTTGGATTTCGACAAGCTGTTTTCTCTTCAAATACACTACGACTACCGACATTCAAACTAGGAGAGAGGAAGAAGAACGATGCGAGCAACCTACAAGGAACTGATGGAGAAGAACCCGAAGCGAAGAGAAGGAAAACGACCAGGAACCCGGAAATCATGTATCTCCGAAACCCCGCAGCGAAACGAATGGAGCAGGCACCAAGCATGAAGCAGCGAGGACGGTACCACGGACAAGTCCCCGGAGGTGACTTTTTCAAGGAGGGGCGTGTAAGGAAGAAGGAGCGTTTTGATCAAATAAATTATCGGATAACTTGACCTACGCGCGCCAAGAGCGCTTGTCGATTGTTTTTGTTCAGTAGTTCTCGGTTGGTGTCGACAGGGAGCGGCGGTGGCCGCATTGTTATTATTTTATTTCTGTTCTTTTTCTTCGTGAGTCTTTTCTAGTACTGCCCACAAGGCAGGCTTGTGCTTTTCCAGTGTTCTTTTTCTTCGTTAGTAAAGTTTTTCGTTATTCTTCTGTAGCAAATCCTTCTACCCACGTGGCCCGCCACCCAAATCCTATTTTTATATTTTTACAATTTCAATTTATTACAATTCCTTGCTATAGTTGTTGGCAGTTTCGAGGACATTTACAATTTCATGTATTCCTCTAGCCCACTAGATAATTATAATTTTTAGTTTTCCAACTAATTCAATCGCAAAATCATTGTTCTTAACATTTCACCTGTCTGGTATCTTTGCACCCGGTGCTCCCATTTCCCAATAGATTTCCAGTAGTTTAGTGAGATCATTAGCAACACATGGGCAATTGTAGACAGCTAGTCCAAGCTCCCTAACCTGTAGCACAGATTTTCTCGAGTTCCACTTATACCTAAACTAACCTGAGTGAGTGCTCTCCAGTCAAAATTAGCTGAGCCTATGTACATATGCTTGCCATCAACGGCCCATGACTTTGTGTGAAGAATCCCTCCTGGATACCTAATGTTCGCAGTTTGAAATCAAGTTTAGGGAGAACAAACTCCGACACCTACCACTGGGTAAAATCCAACGACCGTACTTTTATCCTTCCATCCGATGACTTCGCCAAATTGGTAGTCTCGGGATACCCTGAAAGTCCTTATGAAACGAGAACTTTTGAGCAGAAATTCATTATTCCGCAACTAAGCACTAACATTCGAAAAAGCAATTACGGCATTTCAAATCCTTTCTAAAATATACCCTTCTTCGATTTGGTAAATCACAGGGACTCTATTATTTTGAAAAAAAATCGTCTCGCCTCCATCTGCATAAGTTTGCGCAATTTTTACATTAACTCCTCGTTGAGCTGTTTTGAGCAGAGTATCATAGATTAGCTTTCCCTGAAAAAATAATGATAGGTACCAGTTTAGCAATCCACAAAACTTACATCACTAGAAGTGTTCGTAGTATCTACCGTGTAATTGTTGCCAGTATTTTCAACCAAGAGAGACCAATAGTAGCTACCAATTATTACTTCTTTCTTGGCTTCACCTGCAATGAAAACACTCATTCAGATAAGGACACTATGCGCTCTAAATCAGTATCTACTACTCACTCATGAGTCTCATCCAGCAGTCAGTAGTTTTGTTGAATATGGGATAGGATGTGTTAAAAGTAAGACCGGCAGGTATTGTCTCGCATATTACAAATCTAGAAAACAGTATCAATGACATCGAGTGTGTGAGTGATAGTCGCTCAATTGCTCACTACCGAAATTAGAAGGTCCAAAAAACTCCCCATTTCAGTAGTGAGTGAAACTGTGTGTACTATGACGTATTCATACCAGGGTTTCCCAAAAAATGTGCCTACTGTTTAACTGTTAATAACTCTCTTGTAACGAAGCCTTTTGAGAAGATTTGGGCACCATTTTGTAGAGCTGGCTTCGACTTAGATATATAATATGGAGCGCGACTGCTCTCTGTTATTGTAGGATTACGGTAGGAACTTTTGAGAGGGTTTTGAGCCACAAAAGGCCTATTTTCCCTCAGAAAGGAAGCGAAACAACCTGGAAACTCACACACTGGGCTGATTAGACTTGTTGTTTTTGAATGTGAAGCTCGCAACTTATCATAGTGCTTCATTAAAAACTTACGTGAGATAAGCAATAGCGGCCGCTTTTTCAATGTAAAGAGTGCGGATACACCATCCAGAAAGCTCTTTAATTTTGTACATAGTTGAGTATTAAACTCAGCGTCCATAAAAACCCTTTTACCAAGTTTTCACATTTTTTGGACAATTTTGAAAAGGTAGCTTTTTTACAGTGACACCATATGCTTGAAGTTTCTATCGCAATCCTACGGTAATGAATAGCGATCGGTGATTCGCTCTATACCGTTAATCTAAGTTGAAACCAGCTCTACAAAACGCTATCTAAAGCTTCTCAAAAGACTTCATTAGAAAGGGGTTATTAACGATCAAACAGTAGGCACATTTTTTTTGGGACACCCTGTATATTATAAGCAGGGTTGAGCGTGGGGTCAGACGTGCTCGTATTCAGGAACAGAATTTGTTCAAAAAAGTTGAGGAATACTACGATCCAGTAAGGTGAAGAAGAAAAGCGCTAGATTAATGATTATCACTGCTCCATCCAGAAAGAATGACTGTTGTGAACAGCATACTTCACTATTACTGTGTAAACTGAAGTTATAACATCTAACAAGTATGTCAAGTCACCTCTACAAGCTCTACAAACCATTACTCATTACATTTTCCAGTGTTCGTTAGTGTCTAAAAAGCGTGAAATGATTAACTTGGTCACAACAGTGAAAAGTGTCAGTTTTTTAATACTCAATATAAAGTGATACTCTCTACCAGCATATGGTAGAAGTCCGATTTCATATCGTTTTCAAATAATAGATTCAGAAGTGCTGCCAAAATTTCAATCACCGCGTTTTCCGCCATAAACGCAGTGGCTCGGCAAAACTCAGGAACTCAAAATTTTAACGCGGTAGACTCCTCATTGCCCAAGTATGAGAACAGTGCAATCCCGGTTGCACAGCATGCCTTCCTTGCCGAGAAAATTGCTCTCAAACTTACACGCGCAGGCCATTCTTACACGCATCTAGACGAGTTGGCAATTTCCTTCTCACCATTGGAGGCTGCCCGCCGCAATGCTATAACCATTGGGTTCTGCAACGATTCGGCGTCATCAGCCTTGCAGCACTCGTCCAATTCCAAAGGGAAGGGCATTGAAAAACGCTCGTTTTGGGCATTTTCAAGCTCTCAAAAGTGGATTTTCGGAATCAGCGTATTAAATAACGCCAGGAAGCGAAAATTTGACTATGTTGAGATTTGCCGAGCCACTGCCTTCAAGTGCTTCAACTCCACCGATCGCCACAACGCCAAACCAAGTCGAGTAAGCTCAACACCTACTGTACAATGTTCGAGGTTTGTGATAGCGAATTACATAAAACTTGGATGAAAAAGCGTCCTCGGAGATATAGTTAATGGGGTCGGGCGCAACCCCTCAAAAGGTCAGGCCGCCTGAGCTTTTGTAGCCTTGTACCTGACCCCTCTAACAAGTCTTCAAAATCCAGAGATCGCTCCATTCATGGCATAGATATCAAGCTCATAACCTTTCTTACTAGAATTGGAGCCAAATGCCCCAATTCTAGAGAAATTGTGGCCCTTTCAAAAGGCCCATTCGAATCTAAATCTGGGGTCGTTTTCAAAACACTTGTGCCTGACCTCTTGCTCAAGCCTAATCATAAGTGCGATGAGTACATGAAAAACGGATCGGTTAAATGGATAAAAGGACCACGACATTTTCGTTTCTGTTGCGTCGCATTTAGCATTTACCTTCAGAAGGAGAAGATTCCCGACCAGTGGAACATCAAGAACCGTCCTTCTCTTCAAAAAAGGCGTACGGAAGGATCTTTAGAACTATCCAGTATGCCTGCTGAGTGTGCTCTACAAACTGTCACCACGAAGATTATCTTCGCTCGCATATTAGGACACTGGATGAAGCCTAACCCCAAGAATAAGCCAGATTCCGCAAGGGATTCAGTTGGGACCACGTCCAGAAGGTTTCGAGAGTCACAGAAGTCTGCCGGAAATACCGACTGCCTCTTGTCCTAACCTTCGTCGACCATGAGAAAGCCTTCGACAGCGTCGAAAGAATGCCATTCTGTCAGCGTTATTCGATCAAGGAGTGACCCGGTTTACGTGAGGACACTAGGCGACTGACAAGGACTGCACAACAACAATGCAGCTAATCCATCGCCTCCCACTTCAAGTGGGAGGGAGCTTCGTCAAGGCAACACTATTTCGTCGAAGTGTTTACCGCCCTTGCAGTGGGTGATGAAGTCATTAAACTGGGACAAGCAAGGCATACGGTTGATGGGAGATTCTTGTCCAACCTTCGTTCTGCGGACGACTTCTCTACTCGAGCAGTATCATTGAAGCAGAGACGATGTTGAAGGAACTTAACGAAGCAGGAAAAAAGTTGGATTGCGAATCAATCGGAAGAAAGCTCAGTCCATGAAGAACGCTTTTTGCGAAGTTGCAGAAATGGAACTGGAAGGCACCTCGATCATGGAGACGTCTTCTTACGTGTATCTCGAACGCTCGATGAACATGGAGAATGACTTGAGGGAAGAACTTAACAAGAGAAGAAGAGCAGTCTGCGCCTTCGGGCTTCTTGAGGGAAGCCACCGATTAACTGACGTACCCGGAGCTTCGTGCGCACTTGTTCGAATCAATCGTTCTCCCGGCACTCTGTTACGCAGCTGAGACTGGGCCGAGACTGTAGCCACGTCGAAAACTTTACGGACCACCCACAGAGCGGTCGAGCGCAGTCTTCTGAAGATGACCCGAAGCAAGCAACATCTACTCGGACTTCGCAGCACGGATATGAGAAGAATGTCCCGTTTTCGTGAACCAGCGGAATACGTTGCGAAAGCCAAACACCGATGGGCCGGTCACATAATGAGAAGAACAGACGACAGATGGACACTAAGAACATCTGGGTGGATTCCTCGCGAAGCCAAACGTCCTCGAGGAAGACCACCGACGAGATGGGCAGAAGTCTTCGTAGAACGGATGGACCAGCTGAGAAATCAGCTGGATACGACTTCGCCCCTGGAACTTGTGGACGCAGCCACCGACGACGGCCATGGAGATCGTGGATGCCTGAAGCGAGGGAAAGCGACAAATGGAAACTTTTGTGCTGAGGCCCGCACGCCACGTGAAGACGGGCCATCTAAGTGTTTAAGTAAAAAGTAAGTTGCGATGCAAAATGATCGAAAAAATCAAAGCATCATTTTCCGTTGCACAGATCTTTCTTTTTGAAATATAGTTGGTTCAATTTAAAGAAAAAATCTTCGTATCAATGAGGACTGGCTGCTTGCCGCTTCTCAGACACTCGCCGTTGACTCCCGCAGGAGATCCGCTTAAAAAATGGGTAGTCGCACCAAAATCCGCTGCACCGGCGGGAGCCATCATTTTTTTGTCCCGATTTTGGGGCGCGGGCGCATGTTCAAACGAGTACAACTCCAAATTACTGAGTTCATCTTGTCGTTAGTTTCATTTTCACCTCAACTTCCAAGAAAGCTCCTCTCTCATTGTCTCTGTCACACAAAAGCCATTTTTATCATTATTGGTGCACCGTAGGTAACTGCAGGCTTTTTGCAAGTGGGGTGTGCGATGCTCAGATCGCCGGCAGTTTCAAGTACATGTTCACTCCTCAGGCTGGCTTCTTAGAGGTGGGAAACTCTTTATAACAATGTGATTTTTAGTTCATTGGTATTAAATTGAAGTTCCTTCCTCAAGATATCAAGAGTTTATGTTTTACTTCTACTACTGTCGCGATTACAATTTACCGATTTCGAAGAAGAGGACGAGGCTCGCGAGGGATTCCTCAACAAATTCGCGGAGGCAAGAGTGGTTTGGAGCGGTCATGGAGGAATAGCAATACGGACAGCACTGTAAGTTTTCTCACACCTCACACTGATAGACCAAGCGATACTTTTGAACTGTACTTCTGCAGCGCAGACATCCGCTCTTACCATTTTGAGCCTGAAAAAGCCGCGCGTCTTCCATCAAAAGTGATTTTTTGTTTTATATGATCACTGGTATTGTAAATGAATTTCAGAAAAAGCGTGCGGTCATCGAAGCATTTTTCGACTCCATTGCAAAGCCTGCTCTAGAAGAGCGTGGAGAAGGCATAGAGGACGCAAAAATCCTTTATAAGAGCGTAGGCCGCAAGCTCCGAACAATCGGAACATTATGGTGTCCCCCGCAGATTTCCGATTTTGTCCGAAATGTGTCGGTCTGGACATCTGATTTTGTCGCGCACTTTTGACCCGAATTAAAATTAGGTGTCCTGATTTTGTCCCGGCACCGGTTTCGGGAGTCGGGCAGACATTCCGTGACTACAACTTGTTTTGTCCTGCGGGAGTCAATGGCGAATGTCTGAGTTGTCAAGAAAAAGCATCTGAGATTGACTCAAAAACTATACAGCTTCTTTTTATTGGGAAAACGTTCCAAAATGATTAATAGATCATATTTATTCGTGAAAATCAAGCTCACTTACCCCCTCCCCGCCCTGTAGCTCAATTGTGAAAAAATCGATAAAATCGATAAGGTCAATTGATAAGGTCAATCGATAAGTTTGAAAACTAACGCAGCGTGATCAGCATGCTGACTTATCCTCTTGTGCCAACTCCCGGCCCTGTAGCTCAAAGTTTCCAAAAATTAAAAAATTGAAAAGGTAATGAGTAATTTCAAAAGTTACTATTGAATTCGTGATTAGCATGTTCATTTACCCCCCCCCCCCCTCCTCCCTCATGCCCGTGACTCGAACTTTGCAAAAGATCGATAAAATCGATACAGATCGATAACGAAAGGTAGCCTATTGCACTTGCCGGCCCCAATGTGTATGTGTGCAAATTTCGATCCTGATGGTTCAAAAATAAAGATTTCTTTTAGATAATACGTGCATGTGGTGCATCCCCTAAAACTGTTTCCATTTGAACCAAAAGCGTGGCTGTTCTTTCCATTATTTCAATATGTCAGCTTCGAATAAGCGCCTTAAATTGCAGGAGTTAACGTGCTAAGATTGAAAGGCAGCCACATTGATGATTTATATGGGAAACATTTTTGGGGATGCACGCATACAAACAGACACAAAAACAGACAAACAAACATTCAGCTTCATACAAGAAATAACAGAAATGCTTGTCCTACAGCAATTGTTGTAGCAAAAAGTAACTAGTAAATTACATACTCGCATGTCCTTCCACATTCCACCGGTGGAGGAGGAACACACTTCGGCTTCGACGGATATGTTTTGTTACAGTCATTATAGTAGTTCTGGACATTGTAGACGTCGCCTTTTGCCGACGGTTTTATGGCAGCGAAATAGATCTGAAAGTCGTAAACGGACAATTTTTGGTCATTTATGCATATCTGCATGAACAATATACATAACTTATTATCCTCCAATAATACAAGCAATAAGCACAGCAATAATGATATACACTTTTTTACATATTTCTCAAGGCATGCGCCATACATAATCCGCTCGATCACTTAAACTTCACTATGTCAAACTAGCAAAATGAGCATTTTGTTAGGATCTAGCACGAATTTCAAGCGCATTACAGGCCATTTCGCTCACTTAGGAAAAGAGCTCGTTGAAAAAACATATTCTTTGTACATGCAGCCCAGAAGATATCAATTCACAAGGTTGTTATTTTTTCCAACTTATAGTGTAGGCCGATAAGTTAGAGTTTTTGTTCTGTACATGACTTCCGCGGGTTCTGCCTTATTTATCTATCTATTCATTTGTTTATTTATGCATGTGACAGCACTTCAACCTCGCTCCCACGTCAATCAAGAACTCTCACTTTCAGGAATGGTAAACTGGCACCAAACCTGGGAGGATACAATGACTTGACAAGCAGCTGGCCCTGCAAATCATTGTACAGTCTGCCCCAACCCTAACCAGGCCAAAATCGGCATGGCGGGAGTCGCGCCGCGAGGGTTTCGCGCCACATCTGCAGCTAGCTAATCTGCTCTCTCCTCGATCTCTTCACTCTCTGCGACAGCGCGCGTATGCAGCGCAATCCCCTAGCGCTGCGAGCGCGCAAATTCAGCCGACGGTTCGGCCTGATCCCGATTGGGGCAGACTGTAAAGGCTTACACCCATTCAGTGGCGTCTTCGGATGAAGTAGATTGCGTTAAGGGCGTTACGCGTTCAGCGTATGCCCGTAGAATGTATTGAGCTCATTTTTTTTTTATTAACAAACATTTCAAGCGTGCATCATATAAAAAATCGATAACTATTTTTAAATAAGAAGGACACAAGTACGCAATACAAAAATACATTTAGCTTTGAAATCATACCCATATCGAAAATATTCTCACATATAATTTGATGTCATAATATTTTATAGATGGACTAAGTGAAGCAAGAAGTACGTACAGTTTTGTTGCTGGTTATAGTCCATCATATCCAATTAGATAATAGCCATAAGTGTTTAACTGACTGATATTTATTAGGTTGGAATAGGTTCTGCAGCTTTTTCATTAATTTTTCTCTCTTTGAAAACGGCACTCAAATTCTGCCGTTGATCATGACTTATAGAAACGGGCTAAGGGTTGTTTACGTCTTTTTGTCTGTGTGTGTGTCTGTCCGTTACAAAATTCGTAGAGCGTGTTTCAGCCAATGTCCTGGGCCCAAATTTTGCACAGCTTATGTTACCAGCATGAAAGTCCACTATGCAAAAGCAAGAGCGGATCCGTTGAATGGATCCCTCAAAAACTGCGTTCCAGACGGATCCATTTAACTTCTGGCCAGCAAAACTGTACATGTAGCATCACTTTTTGCAAAGTCATGAGTACGTTTGACAAGCCAATGTGCAAGCCATGGACTTCAGCCCAAAAAAGTGAACAAAAGTTTATTACACTACGAAGGTGGTGCCAAAAAGAATTGATGGCGTAGACTTTCATTTGCCAAAATTTACCTGGGCCGGTAGTAAACCTGTCGAAACGCGCAGCTCAAACTCAGAGTTAACTCTGAGTTAACACGCACCTTTCAGAGGCCATTAACACCTGCATAAGCAAGCCAAATTGGGGAAAGGCTTATATGGCAGGACACCCCGCAAGACGTACTTTATGCCAAGTATGGAAACTTAGCGTAATTCGTTCCACGCAAGACGCTACGCGACGAAACGCGCAGCTCATCTGCGCGTTAACTCTGAGTTTGCTGCGCGTTTCAGCCGCCACGAAACTCGGAGTTAACTCTGAGTTTGGTTAGAGAAAGAGAAATAGTGCGTAAACGCAGAGGTCCAGAAAAAAGTCCTCCGGGGTAGATTTTGCTCCGAGTTTCATGAAGCATGATGGGGGGTATCATGGTGCACCGTTGAACACAAAAATTTGAAATTTTGTAAAATTTTGGTCCCGGGGGTTATCCGACGCGCTGATCACCAAACCGATGCTCATTTTTCGCCATTCGCCCACATAAGGGGGTTACGGTAGGGATACGGTAGTTGGGCGAAAATCACGAAATTTGCTGAAACTTGGTACACTGGGGTTATTTCGCATGCTGATCACGAATATAACGTTCGTTTTTCGCTACGGGGCCACGGAGCGGGATTACGGTAGGTATACGGTAGTTGTGCGAAAGTCACAAAATTGCTTGAAACCTGGTACAATGGGGGTTTTTTGGCACGCTGATCACGATTATGATATCTATTTTTCGCTACGGGACCACAAATTGGGGTTACGGTAGCTATATGGTAGTTGGGCAAAAATTACTAAATCGAGTGAAAATTGGTATTGTGGGGTTTCTTGGCACGCTGATCACGAATCCGATGCTCATTTTCCGACATTCGCCCACATAAGGAGGTTACGGCAGGAATACGGTAGTTGGGCGAAAGTCACAAAATTTGCTGAAACTCGGTACAGTGGGATTATCTGGTACGCCAATAGCGACCATAGTGTTCATTTTTCGCTACGGTGCCACATAACGAGGTTACGGTAGGGATACGGTAGTTGGGCGAAAATCATAAAATTCGCTGAAAATTGGCGTAGTGGGTTTATTTGCCATGCTGATTATGAATATGCTAATCATTTTGCATGGAAATGCAAATCAATGTTCTCATCAGCCAGCCATCAGTGCCGTATTCCATCTTGAACCTCTAAGCAGCTGCCTGCGCTGTGAAATTAAAGCCATGAGTCAAGTCTCATCCATATTTTCGAGAAACACATGCACCCTGAATGGTCTTATAGAACAACCCTTAATGCCACAAATGTCTCTTTCTACTTAAACTTCATTATCATTTTCGCATGATCTTTTCAACCATACAACTATCAGCATTGAGAACCTATGTGAAATATAGTCCCAACCACCTTTTTCTCCAGAAATGTAAATGTAACGGATTTGCAAGAGATTTTTTCACCGAAACCAAACCATGAACTATGCTTTTTGCTAGTTTGTGATATAGTTGTAACGGACGCAATTTTTCATTGAAGAACGAATATCGAATAATGTTTTTGAAAACTTATCGAACGAATGAATAGTTAAATTTTGATATTTCCCAAATGAATGAATAAATATTAGTCGATTTCCGATTTTTATATTATTCGAATTCGAATATTCGAATGTGGGCACATTCCAAAATTCGAACTTTCGAATATTCGATTACCAATTGATCGAATACTGTTCAAATAAACAACAACTGAATATCATCGAGCATTGAATGCAATAATTATTCGAATACTCGCATGCAATATTCGAATATTCAATCGCAGTAATCGATTTGAATATTCGAACAAGGATTTCCGAATCTTCTCAAGTATTTGTGTTGTTGAACAACTGTAATTTTAAATTCCTCGCATATTCGAATATTCGAACAATTTATTCCTTCGAGTTGTCGAATGAACGAAATATTAGAATAAAGAACACTCATCAGCCAGCCAGTGGCGGTCCCAGGATTTTCGTCCGGGGTGGGGGGGGCGGGGTAAAAAAATTTTGAATGAAGCTGCGTGACGTTAGCCACGCACTCGAAAATAATTTTTGGTGCGTCTCAAATTTTTTCCGACCTCACACCTCCCAAAATGAAGAAAAAGGGGCGCGCGAGCCAGGCCTCTGAAAAAATTTTTTCCCACGGCTAGTGTGAATTTTTAAAAAATTTTAGAAATAATTTTAATTATCTACATAAATAAACAAATCACACATTTTTATAACCCACGTAAGTAAATTTCGAAAATTTTGGGACCCATTCTCGGGGGGCGGCCCCCCCCCCCGCACCCATTCCCCTCGGTCCGCCACTGCAGCCAGCCGATAGTATAATATTATCAAAATGATAGATGCATGTAGATAGCTGAATTTTGATACTTTAACTACCTATGTTTCGTCAAGAAAGCAGTCACCTCTAGTCATCCTATTTAGGAATGCAGCTGGGGATAAAAACCATTGGGGGGGGGGGGAGTATGTATAGGTATTTCAGTGAATCCAATGCTTAGAGCGAAGAGGCACTATGCCGCTTGACGTGTCTGAACACGTAGGATGTAAGCAGCGAGTACTCATGGCGGAAGAATTAGCAACGTTACTAAGGTGATCTGTAGCCTAGTGGTCTAGTGATAGGCACTTCGCGCCGAGCAACGGAAGTTCGAGTCGCGGCTAAGTCGTCGTGTTTTGCAATGAAGCGTGTGCTAGCTTCCCAACAACCATAGCGGCTCCGCAAGTAGCAGCACGAAACTCCGAGCTTCAGAAACGAAACTCGGAGTTAACTCTGAGTTTCAAAACGAAACTCGGAGTTAACTCTGAGTTAACGCGCAGCTTCAAACTCGGAGTTTCGGCCAGATTACTACCGGCCCTGATCATTTGCGAAAATTTTTGCACAGAGATGTGGCCTACGGTGATCACTGTGCTCAAGGCGACTACCAAGCCATGAAAAGTCCAAAACCCGATTTGAATTTGCGTTTGTCCTTTTGAGAAAAGTTCTATCCACGGAAAGTTACCGATCTCACACGAAAAAGTTTTAGAAATAAGTAATTGTTTACAAATCATTCATGATAGTCTGCATAGTGCGGTGAGTTTCAATGTCATTATTGCATGAATGAATAAGGCATACAGACAGTGAGACCAGTGCAAGCCTTTGAAGCAGAGGTGACGCAGTGGTTATGACATAAGCTACAAATGCAGCTCCTGTTCTGCTAAATTGTGATGTGGCATTCAGAATTACGGTAGCTATCTATAATACAAAGTTGAATGTTGTTTGTCTGTCTGTCTGTATGGTTGTGTGTACATATGTGCGGAATAGAAATTTTTGTTTCTAAACCGATTTAGACCAAACATGCCACACATAACTTCGGGGCGGTGAGCGTGTCATAGACTACTTCTCGTTCCCATCAATATCGATTTTGATGATTTTTTGCAAAGTTCGAGCTACGAGGCTGAGAGTTGGCACAGGGGGTAAGTGAGCATGCTGATTTTGAAAACAAGACGGGAATAGGGATTTGGCATGTAGAAGTGGGCACAGGCAAAGGTCGTACAATAATAGGGGTGAGACGTTTACGACAGCGTTTTGACAAGGCCAGGCGGAGCCGAGTATGCCGGCTAGTATGGTATAAGGAGAAATACGAATTTTGTACAGTTTTGACTGAAACTTGGCGAAGGATGGGGGGGGGGGGGATACGACATCCAACACGCTCATCACGAAAACGGTACTGAAATTGAATGGTAGGGGTTTCTTGTGAGATTAGTAAAGGTTTATGGTATGGGGTCTCTCGCTAAAAAAAGAAAAAGGCGTTCATTCAACAAATAGACAAATTTCCGTGTTCGGCAAAAAAGCCCCGCTATGCGAAGTCCCAACGAATTTCGAGGTTCCGTCTTTCTAGTCTTTGACGGTTATCCCCTGCAGCCTTGCGCCTACAACAACTCGCATAACTGTGAGGGCGCCAGATTTTGGATATACAAGTCGACCTTTAGCAACAATTTCTGCACAATTTCGGATCTTGCAAAGTCTAGGTTACGAAAGCGAAGGGATGCATCATCACGAATAACCCTATGATCCTTGAAACTCATCAGTTCTCGAAAAATGCTTACGAGGGAAGGATACTAGGTGAAGTGGTCTATTGCAGTGAGGTGTACACCAGTAGATACGCCCTTGGGAGATTCCAAATGTAATGGCTGTACCAATGCATCGGTTCCCCCACAATGGTCGGTCGTCTCATCGTGGCGTGGGGGTGACACTGGGTGTCGAACTGCGATGCACAGCCGAGTGTATACTCTGGCAGGGTCTCCCAAGCTGTGAAGGAGTTCGACGTTTCCGGTCTCGACCGGATGCCTAGCTAAGAATCGGCCATGCCAGATCCCCCGCCGTCTGGCTTCTTCTTCTGCTCGCTAGGCGGTTTTCCCCGCTCCAAGCCCGGGGTCAGCGATCGCCCCGTGGAAATCAAGAGTTGGCCTAGTAAGTCTGCTCTTGTAGGGGAACAAATTTTATTACTCAGACAGCAAGAACATATAGAAAAAACCCTGCACATCGGACCCCGCCTACGGCGCCGGGTGGTGGCAAGAACGATGTCAGGGTCCTTAGGGCGCCTTTTGGATCGGACAAAAACGACACGTCTGCCCGGATCACGCCATGGAGACTGCCTCATGCTCTGCACCTACAACGCCAGGACAGTCTCCACAAACGCCGACCTCCACGCTCTTCTCCTGCAGAGCACATGACGTACCACATCATCGCTCTGCAGAAAACGAAGTCCGGGAAGAAGGACGTGCGACAGATGAGTGATGGGACCCTCATCATTCGTGGTGAAAAGGTTCCATCACGAAACGTGGGAGGCGTCGGCTTTGTCGCCCACCCATCTATCGTCCATCTTGTCGATTCGCACGAGATCCTATTACCTCGACTAGGCATCCTACGACTATGCCCTCCACATCAGAAGACCATCAGCATCATCAACTCCTATTCTCCAACATCAGCAGCCGACGAATCAGAACTAAATGCTTTCTACGAAGATGCGTAGGAGATCGATATAGGATCGGGAAATTTGGATATGGGCTCCGGAACGAAAACGGCAACCGTCTTGTTGGGCTTCTCTCCGCCGCACGACTTTTCCATGGAAATTCCATCTTGAATGAAAATCCATCATGAAGAAAGAACATCGAAGGTGGACATGAGAGTCGCCCAACGGAACGACTCATGCGGAGATCGACCACATTCTCACCAACCGAAGGTGGAGCTTCCTCGATGTCTCAGTAGTTCCATCCTTCTGCAGTGGCTCCGATCACCGCCTCCTTCGAGCGAAGGTACGATTCAGTCGAAGGCTGGAAAAGAAGGCCTGCCACAGTGCCGCAAGAAGGAAGAATGTCGTTTATGACGGTAACAGGCTGGAGGAGCTCATATCAAGTTGTGACTGCCATCGAGGAAGACCCAACGTATGACTACGACCTGCTTCTGAAAGGATTGCGGGCCTGCGGAGAGTGCGCCTCAGTGACTTCCGAGAAGAACGTGGAACGCATTTCGAAGACCACCAAGGAAATGCTCGAAAAAAGAAGATCTCTGAGGCAGGATCCGAATGCAACCAATCTCGAGCGACTGATAGCCAACGGCAGTTGCAGAACAGCTTTGCAGGAGGATCTCAGGAAGTACAGGCAAGCCAAGATACTGGAAGCAGCCGAAGGAAGACGAAGTCTCAAGAAGTGCCGAAGGGACCTCTACGAATATCACGTACCGCTGGCTGCACTATTGAATGAAGACGGGACTCCGAATTCTTCCCGATACAAGATGAAATCTATCGCGAAGAACTTCTATACCAACCTCTTCCGCTCATCAACACCCGTGCCGATGCCCGTTGTTCCCACAGGAAAAGTACCACCACGAATTCTACCTGCTGAAGTGCGCACAGCGATTCAGACCATGAGACGTCCACGGCTCCAGGACCAGACCATCTTTGGGTCTGATTCTCTTTGAGTTTATCTAAGGCTAGCCTACGAAGACTGCCCGAGTATATTTATTCTCGAGCTCATTGCTATTTATCTCCAATGAGTTTGTGGCTCATCCAGTATGTCGGTAGCGCGGGAGTTGCCTAGTTTTGTTGAGCTAGCATACCCATTTTCATTTCCATTGTCTAAGTCATACTCCTGGAAACTAGGTCGCTTGCTGGTCGAGCGAGGGTGGCATGCCCGAACTCATGTGAACAATTCTTATGGCAGCTTCTAGTAGCTAAATTTTAATGCCTTTTTCTATTATATTGGACCTAGATCGACGAATGTCCTTATTCGATAAAATTTGCTGTAGTACCTTTTCTGTTGTTTGAGTTCTAACACTGGTTTTTTGTCTCATCTGCTAGTTATTAATTTGCTGTTGTAGCGCGCTTTTGGCGTAATAAATAAATAAATAAATAAAATCTTTCCGTCGAATTTCTGCGAGCTGGAGGACAACGTCTACACGAGATTCTCGCGTCGCACCTAACATCTTACCTTCAGAAGGAAAAGATTCCCGACCAGTGGAGAACATCAAGAACCGTCCTTCTTTTCAAGAAGGGTGAACGGGAAGATCTTCGGAACTACCATCCAATATGCCTGCTGAGTGTGCTGTACAAGCTTTTCACGAAGATTATCCTCGCTCACATATCTAGGACACTGGATGAAGCCCAACCTCAAGAACAAGCTGGATTTCGCAAAGGATTCAGCTGCATGGACCACATCCAGACGGTTTCGAGGGTTATAGAAGTCTGCCGGGAATACCGACTGCCTCTCGTCCTAACCTCGACTACGAGAAAGCCTTTAACAGCGTCGAAACCAACGCCATCCTGTCTGCGCTAGTCGATCAAGAAGTGGACCCAGCTTACGTAAGGACGTTAGCCGACTGTTACAAGGACTGTACAACGACGATCCATCGCCCGCTGACCATCCCATTTGGGAAGGGTATCCGACAAGGCGACACAATTCCGCCGAAGCTGTTCACCGCGGCCTTGCAATGGGTGATGAAGTCACTGGACTGGGACGAGAGAGGCATACGAGATGATGGGAGATTCCTGTCGAACCTTTGTTTTGCGGACGACATCGTTCTCTTTTCGAGCAGTATCACTGAAGCAGAGACGATGCTGAAGAAACAGGGAGGAATGGAAACTTCTGAGCTGGAGCCCGCACGTCACGTGAAGCCGGGCCATCTAATTGTAAGTACCTAAGTAAGTAAGTAATGCATCGGTTATGCGATGTCGCGGCGGCAACTTACAAGGCGCGATGTGAGCGTGCGAACTCCGTTAGGCTTAAGGCATACCTCACGCGATTCCGCCGAATCGCCACTTTCACGCGACTTGGCGATTTGCCAGATTTCTACAAATCTATCGTGCGCGCTTCTCGAACGCATATTTGGGTAGCTTGTGTAAGTCATTGCAAACGCATCAAGTTTTGATCAAAGGCAGCGCATTAGCAACGAATAAGGAAGAGTCGCTGTTGTGCCAAAACGCGTAGCGACAGGAATCGCGCGAGGTATGCCTTAGGCCTTGCACGTCAAGGCAAGTCGCAAGCGACGATGGAGCCTCGCAAGGCATACCAGCGCGGGACCGATGCTGGCTGATACGGCTTTATGTTCAGTGAATGCTGTGCGACTCTCTGAACAAAGTTATGGGCTTTTTTCCACACTAATTTGAGGAGATCCGAGCAGTCATAATCGTTGGCATCCAGCCCTTTTAGGCTCTGCTTATTGGAAATAGTTTTTTTGAGCTTAGCGCAAGGATTTATTTTGTTTGGACACTCTTTTCTAGCGCGTAAGTAAACATTTTGACCATACTGGTGAATGCTGCCACTATAACAGTGCAAATTAGGTGGGAAAAAATCACAACTTCTTTCAAAAGAGCGCACAGTGGAGAACGAAAGCAGAGTAGGAATAAGCGCTTCAAGATGCATCTAGTCGTATTTCATTCCAAAGGGCCACGATCAATAAGTATCCTTCCCTTGTTAGAATTTTTTATGCCTTGTTCAAAAATCGAATAGTTTGTGCCAGTTGTAGCAAACACTACGCTCTACATATTTGACTGCGCTAAATCCAAAGAGAGTAAAGTTATGGAAAAGGTTGCAAAACTTAGTTTCCAACTTAATTTCTCATGATTTCAGTGACTTATTGCTCTCTCACCGCTATCCATATACCAGATGTGAGAATCAAGACGGCCGTAGCAGTGATCGCATGTCCAAATGAGCTGGCAAAAGTCATGCCTGAAATGTCCATTGCAAGTAATAAGAAAACGAATGTTCACTGGGATCAGGTCGAAGAGAAAACTTCTAAGCAGGGGCAATCACTTTGCTTGGTTGAAATTTTTTCGTACATTTAGAGTGGCAATGCATTTTTTGCTTATCAAGTAATGAAAGTAAAACATCTTACTTATCAATTAGCCACATTTATCAGCTAAGTCTGTCACATCAAAAAGAAAATTTTTACATGAAACAAGTCTGAAGGAGTAAACAAGTCAAATAGCAATCAAATTATCACAAAAATGTTGTATTTTCCAGTTTCATGAGGCAAACACTAACGAAAGTATGGACGACACTTTCATTTAGCAATGCAACTCATGCAAGTTTGTTCCTGAACAATTCCATGATATTTTCACCGCAGGTGTATGGGCAGTTGCAAATTCCAAGCAGCCAGAATTTCATTGACACGAAGACTCTCAAGACATTTTTACTCGATATAGAGCACAACATATAAACAATCTTACGTACGCTGTTTTTGTGGAAAGGAACAAAGAAAAATAGTTGAGAATGGCAAACGCCTATAGATATCCAGCTCCACTCATGTAAATTTGTACAAAAATTGAAAGTACAGTCATATTGTTTTTTAATGCACTTTCATTTTTTCGACTCAAAACACGAAAAAATAGACAACATAATAGTTACGGATAAAAAGCTTAACACACTGGTAGTGTTCGAAATGTTGTGCGCCAAAGGCAATTTACGATGAGTATAAGGCGTAAAATTTTTAGCCTAGCGTTTCGAAAAATTCACTATCGGTGCGAGTGAGAAAGATTTACGATAAAGACAGTGCTGATAATTGCCCTATCATTAACACCAGTTAAGTAGGGCTTAAAGGCAGTAGATCGGCAGAATGAGACCCGTGACAAAACAAGGTCACAGGGTAGGAGCCCTCATATGGAACCTATCGGCCAAAGTCCGATCTTTCTCTGCCACTTCTAACCCCCGAAATTTCAACGCCGAAGCAGCGCTCATCTCCTGTATTCTCTGGCCCCGCCCATCCCATAATGGGACCGGACTTTGGCCGATAGGTTCCATGTGGAGGCTCCTACCCTGTGACCTTGTTTTGTCACGGGTCTCATTCTGCCGATTACTGCCTTTAAGACTCATTGACAATGGTATAAGTGACAAATCACACTTCAATCAATAAGTTCCAGCTCCGTGTTATGGTAGCAGAAGAAGCACTTTGCCATCACACCTCACACCTTGTTCCTTAGAGCAAGTTAGGTGACACGCTATAAAAAAGGTTGCCTGAATGAATGAGTTGAGGAGCAGATCACTGCCATCTTAGGGCCGCATGCACTAACATAGCCGCGGGGAGGGGATCGCAGCTTAAAAGAAAGCCTCATATCATGAAGCTCCAGATATCCGGATTTCATCTGCTTTTGTATGATCCCTGATGATCCCCGGCGCTTATCATTAAAATCATTTTTCTTTCTCCGAAGTTAACGAAAACCTTCCAAAGTTGTACTGAACATCTAACACAACAGTGCTTAGCATGTTGCTGATGAGAACAAATGAGTTTTTGAAAAATGAATTTTTCGGTAAACCCCAAATTTCACCTTTGGATCAACGAAAATTTCATGACTTCAAAACATCATTTGTTCTTATCAGCAACATGCTTAGCACTGTTTGGTTAAATAATCTGCACAGTTTTGAAAGGTTTTCGTTAACTTCGGAGAAAGAAAAATGACTTCGAAAAAAAGCGCCGGGGATTATCAGGGATCATACAAAAGCTAGAAAATGCGGTTCGTACAGCTTCTAGCTCCTGTTCAACATGTTCATAGTGAAGGATAGTAGGAATACTTACGGAAAGGTACACAACGTAAAATTCATGTATCTGGAGTTTCGAAATATGAAGCTTTCTTTGAGCTGCGATCCCTCCCCGCGTCCATGTTAGTGCATGGGGCCCTTAGAATCGCATGCTGAACATCCCCGCTCGGAGGAATTGCTTCTCAAAAGAAAGATTCATTTCTGATGCTCCTGATAGCTGACTTTGCGTTTTTCAACCAAACCCGAGAATTCCTACCAACCTTTCACTACAACCATAATGATTAGGAGCGAGAAGTTGTATAATTCGCATTTTGCAGGTTTTTGTAAGATCCTCTTATGAGCCCCTCATAAGCTCACATAAAAAGCTGGAAAATGCGGTTTTACAATAGTGCGCTCCTTTTCGATGTGTTTATAGTAAAGTGTGATAGCAATACTTATGAATGGATAGACAACGGAAAAAATATCTGAGACTCCAAGATAATAGGCTTTGCCGAAAGTTTTTTCTGTTTCTTTGATCGGTCATCAAAACTCAAAGAACACTGATCGGAACGACTTAGCCACCGTTCGATTGAGTTTTTTAGCTCTTTCTTTCTGATAACCACATTTTTTGCGATGTTATTACCGTGGCTCTTTAAGCAGCTCAACAGTAGCGCCAAATTTCACCTAATTTTCAAAAAAAAATTTGTCATAATATTTTTGAGATGCTATAGCAGTTATTGAGTAGTGTAATCCTTTATGTACATAATACCAATTTGGATTACATAGATCAGTTTTTGAAGCTTGTAATAATTACTGAGCTGAAAATTCTGGGCTTTTTTGCATACATATACATAGGGTACCAAAAGTTTTGAGAGGTGATTTTTTTGAAAGCAAATCAAACTTGATTGTTTTGCTTGGATGATGATTAATAAGAATCAAGCTCCAACTCGCAGAAACTTGTGAGTTCTCCTATTTTTGTTGCAGTTGCGTGTTTTATGACCTTACTGGAAAGCGGCTTCACCGAAATAATTTTTTTAAAAGTTCAACAACAGATCAGAAGAACCTAAAAGCACTGCCGCATGGCCCAGGATTTGCTTTATTCGATGCATGAATTTTTGATAATTAGCCAAGCTTTTACAGATAGAAATGAAGGGCGAAGAATTTGCAATAATCTAGAACTTTCAGAAGATTATGATTGGTCGAACACATGTGAAAACGCATTGAGTAATTTTCTGTACGAGATTTGATAGTCGCCTGAAAAATCCGACAAAACTTTAGCGACAACGTAACATAAAGCTTTCTTCTAAGTTCCATTGCATGCGATCCTTAGTCTACACCTCAGCATGTCTGCTGCAGATCTAAATAATTGGTTCTGACCGTTCCTCCCCTCCCTTCCCTCTAAAGTCATAAACATTCCTTTCCGAACGTGAGTCGTCAAAGTGTTTTACCATAATCTTGCTCTTTCTAAAATGGAACATTATTCAGGTCAAGTCAGTTAGCTTTCCGCAGGCTCGCTGGCAAAAAATGGTCACTACAGTTTCTAGAGAAAGCAAGGTCATAGGATTTATCCACAACTCGTTTGACAAGCTATTACTAATTTATGTTCAGTAATCTACAGCGTTGACTTTCTATGTGATGTTATCTTTCTGACGAGGTGAGGATACTTCGTAACTGTGGCCTTTCGATAGTTGGATATATCATGACATTCGCCTTGAAACATTGATCCCAAAACCGTATTCGTCATGCGGAACGATATTTCGAAAAAACCGTACCTCTTATCCTACATGTTTGCACAAAGGTACAAGTAATTTCAATAGGTGATAAGGTTTCGAATGGTCTGGCGGTTAGCGCTATCGCTTATTGCACAACGGGTGCTGGTTTAATCTCGGTGTTGCTTTTGCACTAGCGCTTTTACAAACGCCAAGTCTACTAAAAAGCGTTCTGCAGTTAACAAAGATAGTTTCGAGATCGGCATTTCAAGGCAAGCATTTTGGTGTATAACATATTCCAGAAGGTTTTGGCTACCATTTGATACTAGCGATAGTTCGAGTTCCTTTTATCTTTTTTCGGTGCGCTTCAAGTGTAATCAAAAGTAGATAAAATGAATGAATAATCGGTTCCCTCTCCCTAAAGTCTTACACTTTTACTGATAAGTTGCTTACTTTGAATGAATGAGTGGTAAGGGCCGCGAAACAGTGAATTTTGGAACATTACAGGTGCTCGTTATTCCATATATTAAGTGGGTCCGAAAATTCTGTCATCTCATTCTCAAAGATTTGTAACATCGCGATATTTCAACAGACTTGCTTGCTTGTAATTTCATTAGAAAGAATGAGTCTTTCGCTTTCAAATACTGCTTTGGCGGGCTTCTGTTTCGCACTGATTGTAGAGATAAAAATGGAAAAGTAAAACCATATAAGCTTTGATCATTTTAAGATAGATCACCAAAAATCTGGAACGCCGCAAAAAAATCTGAAATCGTCAGCACATATGCTTTTGGCCTACGCTCTGCAACTGTGAAGAGTTTTTGCTGTTTGAACGTCTCTGTGAGAAGTTGTGAATATCGAGTTTACTATGGAAAACGCAAAATTAACTAGTTTGTCAATTTCGCGAAAATCATAACTTCTCACAGAGACGTTCAATCAGCACATACTTTTCACAGTTGCAAAGAGTAGGCCAAAAGCATATGTACTGACGATTTCAGATTTTTTTGCGGCGTTCCAGATTTTTGGTGACCTATCCTAAAATGGTCAAAGCTTATATGGTTTTACTTTTCCATTTTTATCTCTACAATCAGTGCGAAACAGAAGCCCGCCAAAGCAGTATTTGAAAACCCTCAAGCCCTGAAAGCCCTCAAAGCCCTCAAAGCCCAAAGACTCATTCTTTCTAATGAATTTACAAGCAAAGAAGACTGTTGAAATATCGCGATGTTACAAATTTTTGAATAGGAAACAGAACTTTCGGACCCACCTAATATTATATTAGGTTGATTCATAATCAATGCACGTTTTCTATACTTCAACTTTCAGCCGAGATAATTCTTTTTTGTAAAGACATTTCTGAGCGCAATAAAAAGCCAAGGGCCTCTTGAGCAATAGCGCCAAACTTGGTTTTTATGGAAAATCTTTGAAAGAAAATTTCGCGAAAAAGTCGAAAGTACTAACTTTTTTCCGGCATCTCGACGGGTTCAAAAATCGGTCATTTTTGAATTATTTCATTTTTCTCCGCTGGAAAGTGAGAAAACCCTAGCGCTTTTCTACCACAAATGAACTAGGTCTACCCTTGCTAAATAGTGCAAAAGACCTGCAATCGCCTTTTGCTTGAAAGTTTTATATGGCACGGAAGGGCCGCGACCATTATTGAAGTTCGCAATTGAATCTCTCGGCTCAGAATTCAAGGAGAATTTTGTTCAAATAGCGTCTTGTAGCACAAAGTTTAGCAATCCTTATGCATATTTTTTGGAATTAATTAATCCTGCTATTCCTCATGGATTTAGGGCAAAATAAGGGGAAAGCAAAAAATTTGAGATTTGGTCTCTTTTATTTGAAGGCTCAGAACTTTGAAATGAACGGAGATGTACGAAAGCGAAGGCATGCATAAGAAACTAGAAAAAACGCTCTTTTAGATAGCACGGAAAGTTTTTGAGTATCAACTACCAGCTCTTGAAAGAAGAGGTGAGAAAAACGTGCATTAATTATGAATCAACCTAATACTTCTACTTCATAGTCAAAAAGTCAATTAAAAAGTTTAGATCTTCAAACAACTTCTGGGAGTCAGGTAGTTACTAGCCTTCATAAATTTTTTGAGAATGCACCGCTAAGTTTATGATCTTTGGAGGCACGAAGGTCTGATTGGATTGAACGGTAATCTACTAGCCCCACCACATAGCTTAGTACAGAGATGATTCCAAAACAGTTTTAGAAATACAGGGTGTTCGTAAAGTATGTATACACTGTTTGATCGTTAATACCTCTTTTCCCAAGAAGTCTTTTGCCTTGCTTTGGGAACCATTTTGTAGAGCTGGCTTCAACTTAGATTTGCAGTACAGAACGAATCGCCCATCCCTCGTTATTACTGTAGGATTACGGTAGAAACTTGAAACATATGGTATCAATGTGGAAAAAGCTGTCGTTTCAAATTTCTCAAGAAAATATGAAAACGTGCGTAGTAGGGTTTTTATGGACGCTGAGTTCAATACTCAACGGTGTAGTCGCACTTTTTAGGAATATTGAAAAAATGGCCGCTACCTCTTATCTGGCATAACCCTTCAGTGAAGCATCGTAATAAGTTGAAAACTTTACAATTAGAATCAGCAGCTCTAATTAGCCTAGTGTAAAAGTTTTCAGGCTGTTTTATTTTATTTCTGAGGCAAAATATGGCCTTTCATGGCTCAAAACCCTCGTTGAAGTTTCCACCGTAATCCTACAGTAATGAAGAGAGATGGGTGATTCGCTCCATACTGTAAATCTAAGTTGAAGCCAGCTCTACAAAACAGTACCTGAAGCAAGGCAAAAGACTTCTTGGGAAAAGAGATATTAACGATCAAATAGTGTATACATACTTTACGGACACCCTGTATATAACTTTCGAAATGATGCATGTACAAAACGCAAACTGTGCGGTTGAATTTTCATGGGTAAATTCGATGTATATTTTAGCGCCGTAGCTAAAGTCACTGTTGTTTGCCTCAAGTTTGCCATCTTTGCTCGTTCACCTACTTTAAAACGCAAGGCCTATGTGTATGTGGTAGATGAGCATTCAAAAAAGTAAAATAATAAAAATCTTCAAGTCGGGATTATACATTTAATATAAGATGTGGTTTTTTTGCAACAAATCATGTATAGGGCTTGTTTTTGCTCATCTATGCGCTACCTAGCTTCCCACCTTAGCTCCGCAACAATACGGATTTCCTTTTAAATGTTAATGCCGCCGGATTACTAGCAGCTGATCCTTGTTTCTATTTCAACAACAACCCCCATTCTCGATTTGAAAATCGCCTACATGAGTTATAAATTCGTGCAAACGAATTGTTTCATTTACAAAGTCAAAAGAATTTTTCATTGAAAATCAATTCTGCTTTGTATAAAATTTGTAATCCTTCTGCAGTTGTCACAATGTTGAAAGTTCTCGAGAAATCCCTCAGTAACTAACTAAGGTTCCACCCTTTCGCAAAAAAGTCGTTCCTTCCCTTTAAAATCTCGGATTGCCGCTGCGACTTAAGTATATGCATGTTTTTAACTCGGTTTGCGTAACGGACTAAAGCAAATAAAAAATCAGAAGAACACTCTCTTGAGACCTTGGTACCAAGTGCTTGTAACTTTGCAAGTGTACAAATGAATAAATTTTCAGGTTGTGTAATGCTGTAAAATTTTTTCTTTTGATTTTTCCTTAGCAATATGCACGGTGTCTTGCAAAATGTATATAGGCATTCGAAATCTTTTTGCTTGCTCTCTCGAAATTTCTACTTAAGTCTCCTATACAAAGAATCTGTTTATGTTTTCAAATACACAAGAAAACCAAAGAGGAAAAAACCGTCTTCAACAGCTACATTACGCCGCCTTCCAAATAGGCCAGCTTGTGTATTAAGAAAAGTATGCTGTAGCTCCTGCACTTTTTGGGAAGCGCTAAAAAGCTTCGAAAATTTCCTCTATAAATTTTCGAATTTTTTACAATCTCTTCGATGTTGACGTTGGACATCCGAAGACAGTCCTGAGAGAGCACGATAGGCGGATAATCCAAAAAAAAAGGCAGAAGGGATGCTCTATGGCTACAAAATATCAAATTTGCGCGTTACCTACTCAAAAATTTATAGTTTTAGGTCACACAGCTTACGGCGTTGAACGACGAACATCGTCGCGACAAAGTTTTGCATCGCCGACTTTTGAAGATAAAAGTCAGAGGAAGACAAGGAACAAGCATAAACAGGACAGTACAAACATAAGAAATTGGTAAAATGTTTTGTCTACTGTCAAACTTGTTGAATAAATTTTATTGTTTTGTCTGCTGTCAGACTTGTTGAATAAACTTTTCTATAGAAAACGGGAGAAACTGGAAGGAAAAAATGTCGAAAACAGTCTCCTGCTAATAAAGGAAGGATAACAACATAAGCGGTTGGAAACGATATGCACATTACTAGACGCGCCTCTGGACGCTAATTCCAAATCTGCTTTTCTTTTCTGCGAACAACTTTCCGAAATAAGTTATGAGCGAGTGAAGTCGAATTCTGCCAAACTTTGAGTAGTCCAAAATTAAAAAAGCTGTACTAAGAAGGGAAGCTTCTTTAGTCGAAGCGGCCTTTTTTGAATGAAAAGTAAACCATATTGAAGGGCATAAAACGCTGACTCCAAATCTGTTTTCCTTATCGGCAGAGCGATGCACGAGAAGTTATGAGCGTTTATTAAAGCCAAAAACTAAATGTGCATTTTGGATAAAATGAGTCTCTAAAATCTTACTAGCCCTCTGATAATGCAACCAAGTGTGATATATTTTTTTGGAGTATTTTTTGAGTAAAGTGCTCTGATGATTATCACTGCTCCATTGAAGAGCTAGAAAAAGTATCTATTTTTGTCCTACTCAGGCACCCGCCATACTTGATCCGCTTAATCCACTTGATCCACTTCATCCACTTCACTATTGGTCAGTTCACTTAATTGACTAATGATGAAGCGGATCATGCGGATCAAGTGGATTAAGCGGATCAAGTATGGCGGGTACTTTACACATTCAGTTTGCCCCAATAAGCGCTCAAAACTCGTCGTCCATAAACGCTTTGCAGATAAGGAAGGCAGATTTGAAATCAGCAATTTATACCCTTTAATATACGCCTCATCTAAAAAGGCCACTTCGACTAAACATGCATTCCTTGTAAGACACCTGAAAGTGGGTAATCAAAATTGTAGCAGGTATTATGTCAGAAGGAAGCAACAAAGACGGTGGAAATTCGCATTGGTGTTGTTTGAGGGCATTTTAAGCCGCTTTATGCGCGACAAATTTGGACACTCAAACGCTCATAACTTCTTTCGGAGAGCTGTTCCACAAGAAAGAAGAGCAGGTTCAAAATAAGCCTCTAGTGATATACATCACGTCTAATCGCCAAATTATATTCGTATTCTTCCCTTATAAGTTAGGGATGACGCAAATAAATTTGCAGAGGAGACTTAGAACTTTCAATAGTAAAAATGCGACAGAACTTTTTACACAACCTAATATGAAAACGAGAGCCTCCGTGATTAGTCAATGAACAGCTGCTGTCCTATGATCAGAGATTACTTGACTATGCGACAGAAATGCCTTTATCATCTGGAGCGAAATAAACCTACAAGCCAGGCAGAGGTCGAACCAGTAATAGCGGCAACAGCGCATAATTTCATCATAAGCAGTTGCGAAAACTATTGTTGTCCATCCGGAATTGTTCCCATACGACCATCAACGTGGCTGTCTTTCGATCCTTCTAAATGTCAACTTCGAATAAGCGCCTTAATTTGCTGGAGTTGATGAGCTAAAACGACCGAAAGGCACCCACGTTGATGGTCCATATGGAAACAATTCTGGGGGATGCACATATATCAACGAAGAAACCTTGTAATGGAAGTTTTCTGCATAACACTTGTAGCTTGCATACCCACAAAGAGCAACACTTTTTGGGAGGTTGTGAAATTTATGTTGCGGGTGAAGATCAGGTGAGAAAACACCACTGAAGTAATCTAAAGTACGTTCAAGCTGGTTTAAATTCCCAAAAAATTACGGAAATGCAATTAAAAATTGCCTTGAAACAGTGTGAGTTAATTTACTTTTAGGCTTTGATAGATTCGCACTTTCTTTTCAGAATCAGCATTAGTGTGAGATTTTTCGCTTGTACAGATATAAAAGCTCGTTCTCTGGTCTTTTGAGAACTGCTGCCCAACATATGCTTACGACTTTTGCCATGGGATCACAACAAAATCTCGAAAGATTTGGGAGGAAGCATTTATCAACAAAGGATTGTGCAAGGAACATTAGTGAAAAAAATTCAGAGCATATGTTTTGGCAAAAGCTCCACTTATGCTTGCTTTGTTTTCAATTTTATTGTTATACAAAGTGAACAAGCAAACATTATTAATTATTTCGCCACATGCGAGTGATAACGGTTGCGCTCCATGTAAGTTTTCTATATTGACGTAATGATAGAAAAACTGAGGTGAGCTGATAATCGGACTAATGTCAAGAGATTAGAGTTTCGCACATGACACATTGTCAAAATCAGCAAAAAACTCAGGCTTGTTCACTGACAAATGGTCGAAATTGTACGAGCGGTTAACATCTAGCGGATCTCATCTACCGTTCTACTGTGTCTAAACTCTAAAAATAGCGAAAAAATAAGGTAAAGTTGAAGGCAGGATCGAGCTACTTGCGACAACAAAACATAAGATTCTTTAAAGGACTGCAGAAACGAAAAATTGAATTAATTTTGTAGTTGTGTCCAGGGCAGCATTCTGCTACTAATAAGATGTTTACTGCACTGACTAAAAGTTTCGCAACTATTTCATGGATCTGATAAAAATTTCAGTGACGTGGTCAAAAAATGGAGAACATTTCTTTGCACTTGAATAGTACCTGAAAAATGAGTGCTTCTTCCAAATTTGTACGAAGGTTGGTTAGCGTACGTATCTACTCAAGGGTTTTACCGTCTTGGTGCAACATGCCACAGCTAATGCCTGCAGTAGATTTCTTTTTTTACACGATGGTGAGTAAGAAGAGCAGCTTTACAGTTACAAGCTCTATGCTGTCCGATTAGCTTCTACATTTGTCGACCCAACATTTTTCGATATATGTCTGGCGTCTCAAGAATGTAAGTTACCAGTTTTGAAAGATTCTTGCATCAATCACTCACCTCAACCATGATGAAGCTAAACCATTCCACGGAATCGTTCATGAAACTTGAGTGGGGTTGCATGTTCACCACTCTTCTTGAGAATCAGGAAAGCACACAGAAACGGTAATCAAAATATTATAGTACACCAAATTTTTTTTTGATTTTCGAGACACCCGGAAGGGAGACAGCACCTCAACAATGGGAACGTGAGTTCTTGCCTACCTGCGGTTGTCCATTGCGGTGATCCCAAAAATCTACCTAGTAGAGCGCTAAAATAATGAAAACATTCCTTACGAACGGAAAAATGGACCCCTATTGGATGCAGGACTGGAAGAAAAAGAAATACGTAAGTTTCGATGCCGCAGCGTTCACTGACTTAGGATCACTACATTGTAGGAACATCATTTACATTATATTCCATATGACTTTCCTCTGACAAACTCTATTCGCTAATCGCTGGAGAATTTTTACTAAATTATTGAATTGAAATTTATGTCTCTCCGGTTCATACCCTAAGGGTGTTTCCTCTTGTTCAGTTTAGCCTCCAAAGCATCTCTCTTTACCTAAATTTTCTACTTGGCCGCACCTACTTTCATGCAGACAGTCTTTCAGTCTGTATGATACCGTTTGCCATAAATGAGCATGTGTTATATCCACGCTCAAGACCAATGGCATAAAGGAGCCTGAATGCTTAGCTTTGGACTTGGTTCAGTTGATACCAACGTCAGCGGCTGCTAGTAGCCACTAGACAGTTTCATAATGTAGCGATACCAGTTTTATTCATCCAGGCCCATGTTAGATTTTGGAGGGAAAATTCCTAAGCCATATTTTAAGGGTAAGTCCTAAGTTTTGGAAATCTTGGAGGCTGTCAACAGGGAGCGGGTTGGTCCATAGCTTCGATTAAGAAGCCTCGTACTTTGCTGTGTCATGATTTCAAGAGTCCAAATCTGCCCAAAAAAACTGCCTATAAATTTAGCTGCATTGCACTGTAAAGCGCTTTCCCTTCGTGATCGATTTTTTATGCCTTCGGTTTCAGCAAAGAAACATGGAGCTACAGAATAATTTCATTTTTGCGTAGTACAGTGTGTTTCATAACTATACGACACTCCTCAAAATATTGAGTTTCCGCATTTATGGGAGAGTTGGAACAGTTCTACCAGTGTTATTGTAGTCTCCACCCAATATAAGATAAAATAACATCTCATTCGGTGTTTCGTTGCGATTACCACTCTACAAGTAAATACCTGCTTTACCTTATGCTGTTTCATAACTGTACGACACCCTTTGCAATAACATTTTATCGAAAGAACAAAATTGCCAAACGTGTTGCTAATAATTAATGTTTCTAATCGGGCCAACGTCCCTTTATTACTTCAAAAAGTCTATTGCGCATACTTCTTGCGAGGTTTTTCATGATTTCGTCTCCATGCTGCTCCACGCATCTATGACTGACCTTTTCAACTCCTCTACGGTGTCATATTGCTTGTGTCCTGCGTAGACACGTCGTGCCAATATCCCCCAAAGATTCTCTATGGAATTCAGGTCACGGCTGCATGACGACCATCGTAGAATCTCCACCTGATGTTGACGCAAAAAGTCAATCGTTGATCTGCTTACATGCACACGAGCATTGTCTTGCTGCAAAATGTACTGCTGTCTAGGGTAGCGGAAAAATGCAGCATTCGGTTCTCAAAGACTTCTTGGCAATCTGTGCTGTTCATATTCGTATCGATAAAAGCCAGATAAAACTTTTCGTTTGCGAAGAATGACCCACAAATCATGAGCGAGCCTCCACCGAAGTTTCTTCGGCTAGAAAGCAGGGGAGCCTTTCTCAAACCATGCCAGTAGCACTCCTGGCCGTCGCATCCGTCCAAATTGAATTTTTTTGATCTGACCAGACCACCTAAAACAGCTGACCGTTCTTAGAAAGTGCGAAGCGCTTGTTTTGATGATGCTTACCTTCTCCCAGTCTCTTTCCATATCGTCTTTCGCAAATTGTAGCCGGCGTACTTTTTGTTGCTGTGTCACTCTGGGCGTCTTCCTCATAACGGTACGCTTGCCCATACATTCGTATTGCTCTCCAAATCGTTGTTCATGACACGTTCAGCTCCAGATCGGCGCGATTTTGACGGAGCGATAAAGTTGAGTTTGAAGCTTTGTGCAAATAAGCCTTTCGTCTCTGTTTGTGAGACGACGATGCGGTCCTTCTTTTTTGATGGCCGTATGTTGCTGGACTACGCAAATAACCAGCAACGGCGCTTCGAGATCTTTGTATTTGTTCGGCAATCTTCCTCACCAATTTTCCGGCGTCTCTAAGAGCGCCGAAAGCTTCGCGCTCCTCCAGTGATAGAAAAGTCCCATGAGGCATGTCGCAAGGAAACAAAATGAACTTTTCCAGAGTCGTTCATTACTTATTCTCTCGTGAGAACGCGTAGATCTTCTACATAAGAAGGGGTGTCGTATAGTTATGAAACAGAAGATAAGACAGACGCCTCTTATGGGACTGGGAGCAGGGCGAGGCATAGATCGTCTGGAAGCAGTTTGAGCTTCGTTTTTGGAGCAAAAAGGATATCGTTTTTTACGAGTCCGGGCCTAGCACCAGGAATAAGCGCCGTTTAGTCGAACATGAGCTTTTCGGATAAGTTATCACTCGAGACATGCTCCGTCGTGTATGGCGAAAAGTGCGCGCGATTTGAAAGTAAGGCTAAAATAAACGAATTGCTTGTTTACAACGCACACAGAAGCATATGACACCAAAAGAACTGTATGTATGGAAAATTATTTGCGAAAGTATTATGTAAAAAGATTCAAAAACTTATGTGAAGTATTAGCTTTTCCCAAAATTAGTCCTTCTCCAGACGGTCACCAGACGATCTGTGATCGTTTGGAGCATATATTTCTGTCACTTCACTTGAGTTTCGGTTTTTTTTACCACAGACAGATTCCCCGTTCAAAACTCTATCCCCAAGCATGAAGACATTTTCATATCATTGCCTTTCCTTTCTTTTATGCCTTAACTTCTTCATAGAACGCTTTGTTAAATATCGCGCTCCAATGCCAAACTTGTGCATGCGTAATATTCAGCTCCAATTTGGATTTCCCCTCTTACCTCACGTCTTTTCTTCCAGACTACTGAATCTTTTCCTGTTTTCATCTTCTCAAGTAATTAGGTCAAAGGGGAGTTCGTAAAACTTTCGAAAGCCAGGGGAAACTTCGTTTTCAGAAACCTTAGAAACTGACTCGTGTCGGGCCCTGACTGGGAGACCGGTGGGGGTAAGGATAAAAGAACAGCTTGCCAGAAAAAGGCGAGCAGGATTTACCACTCCTTTCAGTAAACATAAAGCTGAAGTTCAAGGTGATAAGGACTTCCAGATTGAATGTGTAATTCTGGCATACGGATACGATACTGTTATAAAGACTCTCAAGGCGTTCTAGATTTTCGCTAGAAGTCCTAGCATAAATAGCCGAAATGAGTGTATGTCAATCACAGATGACTTTATGCCATTCGTGACATTATGTGAATTGAAGAAGGCCACTAATTAGTTTGAATACTATATACAATGTATTCCATTAATGGTATTAGTGGCACTAAAAGACAACGCTTTCAGCATCTGCGCGCCGGTGGTGGAGGAGATTAGTCTGTCTTTCACGTTATGGGATTTCGTTTGTAGCATTCTGGGGCAACATCGAGGCTAGCCGAGGATGGAGGAGGTTTTGGTGGGGTAGACATAAAATCATAGATCTCTTAACACTTTGGGCCTCTGAAGAAGACGAGTAGTTCGAAAGGTTAGGCCGCCACTTGCTGATAAATCTACTAATTTCGATCGGCTTACTAATCTACTCACAGATGATCCCTGTTTATAAGGACTGCTGACCCTCTTTTGCACTCTTTTCTTGTAAGCGCATACTTAGGGTATCAAAACCTAGAGTTACTTGTGAGATTTCGTAGTCTCTGTGTAGTAGGCTGCAGATAGCACAGCGTCAGCATGCGACGATATTGCTGTGTAGGTGAAGAAAACAGCCTCCGTGCAAACCTAGATTTTACGAGGACGTTGCGATTCAACTTCCGGTAGACAAAATTGTGTCTGCAGTGTTTTTGTGTTCCGGAGAAGTGCCATATAACAAAAACCACAAAACATCTAAAGCACACTGAAACTACGGGTGGAGGACTATATGTCGCCGAATTTGGAAGAGTCCCGCGCGGATTCCCTGCAGGAACGCATGTCCGCACATGTACAAGAGTGCGTATTTGTCGCAAATAACCGCGGGACCGCCCTTTTTCCGCGACATATAGTCCTCTACCCTGAAATTACAATTTTCCACGAAAATATTGGGTACCATTCCACATAAGTTGACCCAAAAAATGAAAATCGTGAATTTGGCTAAAACTTCGTCTAGGAGGGTTATTTGGCATGCTGAACACGAATATGATGTTTATTTCGTGCGACAGCGCCATCCGGTGGAGTTACTAGGAGTACGGTAAGGGGTGAAAATCACGGATTTGTCCGAAACTTGGCCCAGAGGGGTTATTCGGCCCGCTGATGCCAAATATCACATTGTTTTTGAACCGTATCGTCATTTTCGGGTTACGGTAGCTACACGGTAACGAGTGTAGAATGTAGTTCTGCCTGAAACGGGTGTACGGCGATTCGGACGATCGTAAAGCTTTGCGCACACGACCACCGCAGCGCGCTACACACTCTGCTGCGGTTTTTGCCTAAGCAAAGCACAAAGGAAAGATAAATTTGCCGATTTCTGATTTTGATCCCTGCCGTATACCTACCGTAACCATGCAGGAAGACGTTTTCGTGTGGAGAAAGTGTGACATTTCTAATCAGCATGTCGAATAACCCCTCTGTGCGAAGTTACAGCGGATCTTGAGACTTTGACCCCCTACCGTATACCAAACGTAGCCCGAGAAAATGACGCTACGGTACAAAACCAATGTGATATTCAGCATTAGCGGGCTGAATAACCCCTCTGGGCCAAATTTCGGGCAAATCCGTGATTTTGACTTCCTACCGTAATCCTACCCGTAACTCCACCGGATGGCGCTGCTGCACGATATAAACATCATATTCGTGTTCAGCGTACCAAATAACCCCCTGAACGAAATTTTAGCGAAATCCACGATTATTTTTTGGGTCAACTAATGTGGAATAGCGCCAAATGTTGATTTCACGTGCCTTAATGCGCGCAATTCCATTCCACAAAACAGATTAATTTCCCTAGTTGGAAGTGAAACAGTTGGTGCACAGACAATGACCAGCGAATAAAGAATCAATGGCGATAGAGACGCCAAATGTAAGAAAATCAAAGGCAGCTTCCGCTCAAAATCATAGGTATCGGGATTTCACAGTGTTCCAATGGTAGACCCTCCATATAGTCTATCAGTGAAGTCTGGAGTGAAATAGCGCTTCTGGTTAGCCCAAAATCCGCTCCGGAAGTCTTCCGGGCCCCGCCCACTTCAGGACCCCGCCCACCTCTTACACGTAATTTGGGACGAACGCGGACAGAAAAAGCTTCGAAAAATTTCATTTTTGTCATCCGCTGAAGAGCTCAGATATAGTTTTAGCATGGCGAAAAGTCTCCGAAAAGGTGAAAAACCGTGGGGCGAAATTTTGAACGGACACTGCCTTAAAAGGCACCGTCCACCCAAAGTGAGGGTTCACTAGATTCGATGGCATACTAATGTGGGCCCCCACACTGGGCCAACCCCCAAGTTTCCTCGCAAAAGATCGCTTCCGGAGCGAGAAATCCGCTCTGGAAGGTACGTGATACGTGATCCAGAGGTGGTCACTCCGCCCATTTTGCAGCTTTGGGGGCTGCGGCGCTGATATACGCCGGGCGATAACCGCGCCGCAGCTGCAAACTGCACTTCCACCCGTCCCGCTTTCTCCAAAATAGGGGTTTTTGGGATTCTCGACTTCATATTCGAAATCAGGGCCTTCAGAAGGCCCGGAAGCGACAAAAATATGGAAGTCGAGAATTTGGGTAAACGGTGCCTTTAATGACATGCAAAAAAACCAACTAGCAAATGTAGCAATGCAAGAATTAGGGTAGTAAATCGCCTCTGAACAGGAAGATACGATCAAAAAAATAGTGAACTAACTCCCAATATAACTAGACTTAGCACTTCCGAACGAAAAACTGAATTACAGAAAAATAACTCATGAATTTACAAGCGTAGCTCAGCGCCGCTGACTGCGCACTGACACGCTGTTGATATGATCGCACACCTACCCCGCGTTAAGTCTAACAGGGTGTATCTACGATCAAGCAAACTACGAAGAGCGTGAAGCAGTAAAGTCCTAGTTTTCTGGTAGGGCATGTAACTAGAGCTGCATACTCTTTCGAGGCTCAAATCTTAAAATGAGCCTCTGTCTCAACCCCTCTCCACCGTAATCGGTAGCAGTTATAAAGGATAGCCGCTGCATCGATGCACACTCAAGGGACCCGTCATACTTCGCCGAAAATAGCCCGGAAAAGTCGAAAAAGCCCAAAGAAGCCCGAAAAGCCCGAAAGAGCCGAAACGTCCCTTCCGTTTTGATGTTAAGGCATGTGTATTGATTTCGTAACCGAGTCTTTTTGCTTCATTTTCTGTCGTCTGCACATCAAAATAATGTCAAAATTCTACCAAAAGTTCGTTTCTGCGTTCCGGCTCTTTTGGGGTTTTTTGGGCGCTTTGGGGCTTTTTTCGGCAAAGTATGACGAGTCCCTAAGGAACTTCCCCTCTCGATGCAAAGACGTTGGGTGTCTATAGTGACAAAACCGCTATCGCGTTGATTTAGTTCAAAATTAGGATGAGAGATCTCCCAAAACATGCCTGAATTCAACAAAAACATCTTCAATCTTGCAATTTTAATCAACAGACGTGATATTTGATATGATACATGAAGCATCGGAGTTTGACTCTATACGTTAGATGTTACTTTCTAGTTGGGAGTAGATGTACAGAAATCAACTTAATGCGTGAGATTCATAACTGAAGTGAGCTGAGTGTACGAGTACTTAGATCTGGTAAGAGATCGTCCGGTGATAAATCTGGTTATAAAAACTTCATTTCTGGTCACTTTTTACGACGAGGGCGAGATATCTGGGCTCTTGAGGATGTTGCTTCCTGAATATTTATGGCACTTAGAACATACGTAGCCGACCTTCGCAACCCTACAGGTAACTTACAGATCTTGGAGGAATTCTGCTGTGTGATGTTCTAGCAGTATACAATTTCTCGAAAGGATCACAGGCCGGGTCTGAACAGAAAAGTTGTCTTCAAGAATCCCCTTTTTTCGGAAGACAATAAAACGCACTCATACAAAACGAACCAATGTTTTCTCTGTAGCTCGATGTTCTGTTAGGAAACAGTCGATCTAAAGGCGATGAAGTGATTCTTGACGAAGGGATTGCAGACAACGCGTTACGGTAGCCGCTCGTGATTGCGCGCAATGCTTCACCTTCCATTTGTCCACGATACTTCAGGAAGTTTTCCTCATAGTCTGCTACCTGAAATTGTGCATTTTGATCCAGACAGAAAAGGTAGTGACCCTTGCAAACCCCCAAAATATGCATGCAGTCATTTTAGTTTCAGTCAATGCTCAGAGCAATAACAAAATAAGGACAAGAGTAACAAGATTGGAATACTCAAATTATTCGTAGGCAGTAATTAGACATCCTTCAGATGATAATAGTCTTAGATCGCGCTTGACCGACTCAGTGCTAACAAAAAAAATCATGTTTAGAAAAAAGATACCGCGCAATAGACAAAAAAATTCATTAAGCCTTCTTGAAAGTTTTCCGGGATAATGGGTGATAGAAAGAATGATCAAATCTTCTCAGAAGTTCGCCTCTATATCCAAGTCTTCTCACGGAGGTTGTACGATTTGCGTAAAGGAATGTTACTGAGCTGGAGAGTCAGTTGAGGATTCCTTTCGGCAAGCGATAATCATCGCAGATGTGAGTTGACGAAAGGAATGCAGGTACGCGTAAAATGCTAGGAAATCATCGAAACTTAACAAGAATAGCGAAGGGTATCCACTCTCACACGCTTCCGGTCCAGCTATACACTATGATGATCCAACTGGCTTGGCGACTGGAACGCGGGGCTTCGTGACGCAATTAAGGCTAATGATCAGAGAGCACGCGCGCGGGAGAGGCGACCTAGTGAAGCCCGCTTGCTTCGCGGGCGCAGGCGGGCTTCACTAGTTCACAGAGCCCCGCCTCCCAGCCGCCAAGCCAATTGCATCAAAGATTACTTTATCATATCGAAATTTGGGCGGCCATGAAGTCAGACTCCATGGCAGCGTTATCCTACTCTATATAAAGCGCAAGCACCCCCATGTGAGTCAGCGCGTCTGTATGTCCACGTAAACATGTCTGTATATGCGCCCCAAAGAGCGATCAAGAAATGATCCTTGGCATTCGCCAGACGGTCATATACTGCGTAAACAACTGATGTCGACTCCAAAGAGCGATCAAGAAATGATCCTTGGCATTCGCCAGACGGTCATATACTGCGTAAACAACTGATGTCGACTCCAAAGAGCGATCGAGAAGTGATCCTTGGCATTCGCCAGGCCATATACTGCGCAAACATTTGAGAGTTTCCAGAAAATTCAAGACGGTATCATGGTTGTGGGTACAAAAGTACAGTCTAACATGTTGACTGATCAGTCTCTCTCTACATTACTCCAGTTAGGCTTCCAAACCATCGACACACACGATTTCAAATTTGTCAGAATCTTCTGCCGATTTGCTACAGTTTTTTCACTTGCTCTGGCATCAACGCGCACCATTCAATGTTTCAATTTCGCTTTCAAAATGACATACAAATTCAACAAATGTATGCTAAGGTTTTGAGTGCAAAAGTCAATGTTTTGATCCTTGCTTCGTCAACCGAATTCATGCAATTAAGCAAATCGAAAAAAGTCTCTGCGTTTATTTCAGCTGAATTTTTGGCCCCTTTTGCTCTATTTTTTTCAATTTCATGCTTTCTTGGAACTCCCATTTGCAAAATGCTTCTTGGCCGTTGCACTACCATGTGTAATTCATTTCTGTCATATGTTTCAAACTATTAACCTGCATCGATTATTAGGTTCTAAATCAAATTATCTACGGTGTTTTCTGCAAGTATGCCTTTACAAAGATTTGTTCTCTGTATTTACAAAAAGCTGGACTTTTGAACTTATAGTAATAACATAGATTCTACGAGGACTAGCTCCTTGCCACGTGTCACAAAAATTGACAGATTGTGTTCTACTTTGACATGTTTCTTTCGAAATCACTTTCGCTGGGGAAGAGTATTCGTAATCACCTAAGAGCTGTTTTTTACAAGCAAAACAATCCTGGACTTACTTTAAAACATCTTCATTGCCTTCAACAGGGATTTAAAAAATGCTATTTTCCTCTTCAAACCCTTTTTGTGTACTCAACCAGAAAGGAATATGATGATTTGAAAAACCTTGCTGCTGCTGCTGCTACTGCTTATGTCGCCTGAATGACGGAACTCTAGCGCAATTTTCTATTCTAAGCAAGTCTAATCTGTTCATCGATAATTGTTTTGAGACATCCACATCAATCTGCCGATTCTTTTTTGAAGAAGAAGCTAAATAAAACAATCTGTGTGCTTCAACTAATAACTAGGTTCCATTTCGAGATATGTCGATAAACAATAGCATTGGGAGTGGAGTTTTTTCATTTTAGGCAGACTTCGCTGGAACGGATCCTAGGTTTCGAATGCGCGTCCCTATTCGCATATGCACTTTTAAACTTCTCGAATATTGTACCAATCTGGAACCAAATATTGATTGATTCCATATTGTGCAATTGTTCACATTGGTTGACTCCAGTATCAGTACTCCAGTATCAGTAGACGAAAGAACAGTACCTGCAGTTTTTGAGAAATGAGGGGCACCAGGTTCCAGCCTTTGACTTAGTGGAAACATTCTCTGGACGGCTGCATATTCACTGAGGCACGGTCATCAATGTACTCTATGCAGTCGGGTTTATTGTGAAAGATGCTGTGTAGAAAATGCTTAGAGGACTTAGCATATAGAGACGATTTAAAACCACTTCTTCTTCATAAGCAAACTGCCGATTACTTCAGGCTTTTAATCCTACTTATGTGCCGATGCAATGATGCCAAGGATGCCGTTCCAATAAAAGAAGCAGATGTTATTATTTGTGACGAAGTGAGCATGGTTTCGAAGTCCTCACTCGAAGCTATTGATTTTTTTCTGAAGGATTTGATGTGCAATACAGCACCTTTTGGTGGGAAAACAGTCGTATTGGGTGGTGATTTTCGGCAAGTGCTGCCAATTGTAGAGCGAGAAAGCGAAGGAGATATGATTGATGCATGTGTAAAGAACAGTGGCCTGTGGAGCTGCTTCACTATGTATCGGCTCTCTGTCAATATTAGAGCTGCAGAATCTGGCTCGACTTGATGTGATCTTCTGATGCGAGTTGGGAACGGAACAGCAGAAGAAGATGAGATGGGCCGCATAGAGCTTTCAACTGAAATCCTTTCTAAAGGCGATCTTATCAGTGAAGTAATCGGTGATTCGTTGACTGATTTTCATACCTTGAGTGAACGAGCAATACTAGCACCTCGGAATATCGAAGCGTATCGGATCAATGAAGAAGCACTTGAAAAACTCCCCGGACGAATTTACGAGTATAAGAGCGTTGACGATGTGATTAGCGATGAACCACAGAACGAATACACGACCGAATTTCTTAACAGCTTAGCGCCTGCTGGGATGCCTCCTCACAATCTTCGGATGAAAGAGGGCTCGATAGTCATGCTTTTGAGAAATCTCGATATTAGAAATGGGCTATGCAATGGGACAAGATTGATCGTCACTCATTTTGGGCGTTCTAGGATGTCGGTTCGCATCAGGGGATAGGAAAGGAAAATTAGTGCTGATACCACGCATAGACATCTTCACTGAAGTAGCAGTACCTTTCCGATTGCGAAGAAGGCAATTCCCTGTCCGTTTATCATTTGCTATGACGATAAATAAGGCTCAAGGACAGACTTTCACTAGCGTGGGCATCTCCCTTGAGTCGAGGTATTTTCGCACGGTCGGCTATATGTGGCCCTATCTAGAGCCCGACGAATGGAAGGAATTAGAGTCCACAAAGAGGAGGAAAGAGTGAAAAATGTTGTGATCAGAGCGGTTCTCAACTGATAACACTTATCTGTATAGAATACACCTTACAAATAGGCCGAGATGTTATGGCTCCTACAAATGAAATGTGCCTTAGTATGAGACAACTTTGGTTTGACGCGTGCTATAATTGTTCGCTCTATCCGCTCCACTCATTTCGCTCCAGGCAACACGAGTTTTTATTAAATTATCAATTGCGGAGTGGATGGATTGGATAGTAGCGTATCCCACTGGAATGAGCACCTGCCTTGGCCATTAAAAATGATCCTAGACTTTGTATCAATGCGCTTACAAAAACGGAAATTGCCCAGTAATCGCTACAGGATAGTTACCATTATAAAATGACCTGTCACAGCTACTTATTTACCCTAGGACTTTCTCTCACATGCTACTACTACTTCCGTTGCTGTTGTTACCTAAATACTGACTGCTTCTTTATGTAAATGGTAAAATACTGGACATCTCTATAAAAATGTACTTCTGCGTTTATGTTTAAGGTCCCGCGCTAATGTTGTCACTCGACATAACCACTTATCCGCTCCAGTGTTTTTTTCCCTGTTCATGCCGTATTTTAGTTACTGTTGTTTTCTATAAACTCCAATTTCTGTAAACTCCAATTCCACAATTTCCATGCTCAAGTCATTATCAATTGAGATTTTTAGGCAGCTTGAGATCATCATAGCACAAGATATGAACAAGATTAGTCAGATTTCCAATCAAAAATCCTTGCACACATTCTGTGTACGGGCAAAAAGTTATGAAGAACACCAGAAAACCTAAAAGCTTCTAACTTTTGAGCATATCCCACTTCGCACACAGCCAGTCCAAAGCGCCGCGAAGCGGCGCTTTGGACTGGTATTACAAAATGGCTCTCCGAAGTTTGCACGGTTAAAAAATTTGGACACTAATACAACTTATTATCTCAACCCCTCATGAAGTATCACTACAGTTTGGCAAAAATTTGAATGTGAATAGATGTGAACATGTGGACTTACTATCGTACTAATATAAGACTACCGACCGTACAATAAAGCGTAAACATAACCCTTCTTTTCGACAACAATGATCAAACTACCAACCTTCTCCTCCGCTGCTAGCGCCCGTTGTTCTGCTTCGTCACGTTGATCTTCAACAGCTTTAAGCTGCCTCTGCACTTCTAAAATCTTCGCTCTTGCCTGTCGCTCCCTTTCGGCATCAATAGCCTTCGTTTCTTGCAGATAATGATCCTAAAGCAGTTTTTTTCCTTTCACAAAAAAAAAACAAGCTAGCAAAAAACATTCTTACCATTTGTCTTTTGATTTCCAGCTCTCTTCTTTTTAGACATGCGTCAGCAGCGGTCTCCACCTCTTTGAGCTTTTCCTTCAAAGCTTGAATTTCTTGGTCTCGAACGCTGAGCTGAACAAAAACGATGAAATCTCCACAAAAGCTCAGCGCTACTCTTTCTAACTTGGTGCTTAAATGCCAATAACTAAGCGTAAAGTTGCTGTTTCCTATGTCCCCAGAATAAAATTCAACTACATTTCAGACTTGCGAGCTTTTAGAAATTCAATGCCAACTTAAAAAGCACAATCTCAAAGAGAAATTGGAACAGCGCGTCAGACTGTGCACCGAATTATTTTTTCGGGCTTTCTCGATCACGTACACCCAAAACAAGTTTCCCTTTCCCTCACTACAGCCTGTGGTACCATATGTAGCGCTATATACATTCCCAAGGTTTAAAGGCAGCGGCTCGGCAGATTTTGCATTTCCATCTTTTTGAATGTTTTGGGCCTTTTCGACCCGTAGATCCCGAATCTGAGCTTTAAAAGCGGTGAAAAGGCCTTTTTCGGGGCGTTCTTTTTTTCAATTTCCAAAAGGCAGCTCGGACGAGAATTTTCAGGAAAGTCGGGAGGCCCTGGCACGAAGACCCTGCTGCCTGTAATTTTGGCTTTGTATGGGATCGTTCATACCGCGCACAAAGCCGAACGAAGGCGGACGAAGCCGGATAAAGCCGGACAAAGGCGGACGAAGCCGCACAAAGGCGGACGAAGGCATGTGTGAGTGTGTGTGTCGAGAGAAACGAGAAGAGGCGTGTGTGTGAGTGTATGTGTGTGTCGAGAGAAACGAGAGGGATCGTTCATACCGCGCACAAAGGCGGACGAAGGCGGACGAAGCCGGACAAAGGCGGACGAAGCCGGACGAAGGCGGACGAAGCCGGACAAAGGCGGACGAAGGCGCGTGTGAGTGTGTGTGCGTGTCGAGAGAAACGAGACGAGACGAGACCGCGCCTTCGTCCGCCTTTGTCCGGCTTTGTCCGGCTTCGTCCGCCTTTGTCCGGCTTCGTCCGGCTTCGTCCGCCTTTGTGCGCGGTATGAACGATCCCAGACGAGACAAGACGCGCCTACGTCCGCCTTTGTCCGGCTTCGTCCGCCTTTGTCCGGCTTTGTCCGCCTTCGTCCGGCTTCGTCCGCCTTCGTCCGGCTTTGTCCGCCTTCGTCCGTCTTTGTGCGCGGTATGAACGATCCCTATAGCGGAGGGCAAGCGTTAGGCGACAAAACGTGCAAAACGCAAGCAACGTAAATCCTGTAACTCAAAACTGTGCACCATTTTTTCATTGGCGTCGGGTAATGTATCGGCCCCGACCCCACCCCCCTGTTTTTGGCGGAGGAGACGTTTTGCACGGGGGATTCTTTGGGGTCCAAAAAACTGGGTTTGTCGCCTAACGCCCTACACCCTTGTATAGCATGCACAATGCGGGAAAGCGGTTGGGAGGTCCCGCGCCGTCTAGCGGAGAATACTCGTCCGAACAAGGTGTTAGGGGAGCGAAAGGAGGAAGGGGAGTGGCGCTTAGGCCGCCCCCCCCTGGCTTGCAGAGTTCACATTTTCGGCGCGGAGTTGCTGTTTTGGTTCACTTGGAGGGCCTCCTATCCATCTGTGTCAAAATCTGAGGTAGGTCAATCTGCCGAGCCGCTGCCTTTGAGATGATATGTGCTACAGGTGCAAAAAAGGATCTATGGCTTGGAGATAGCCTGGAAAGCTACCTGAGAAACAAACCGCTGAGCTGCGATATCTGAGGTTATACGTGAAACGCTACATAGAAAGGTTTGAATATGTATTCTACAACGTCAAAGAAGTTTGCGTTCTCAATAATCAGCAGAATAATACCAGCTTGTTGCAAATAGCACTATTTTGAGATTTAGCTCTAATGAAAGCTTGAACTCCAGAAGTCCTCAGGTAAAAAGAGAGCTTTGCTCGATGCATTAGTAGAATCATGCACCACTGAGAAATGAGCTTCCTCAATGCTTTTCTAGACATCAGAGTTCATTTCTGTGTGCGTATACTGCTTTAGGGGCTTTTTCACGTGGTTTAGATGAATATTTTTTGGATTTATTTTGAGAAGTCTCGAGACCTTGAAAATATGTTTGCGTATGAGCCCCACTTTACGTCAGTCACACCACCGCAAAAAAATCATCTCCATTACCTCTGCTTTTGCTTTTATCACGGCTTCCTCTTTCAGTCTTAAATCTTCACTGAGATCATGTATACGAGACTCAAGTTCTGAAAAAAGCAACATTTGCTAAAAATATGCTGTTATGAGGAACCTACGCTCTAGCTTTTGATCACGTTGATCGCTGTGATTCTGCAGCGAATCTCTTTCAAAACGAAGCATGTCTAGATTTTTATTTGCTTCTTTCAAGGCCTAAATATCACATAAAACAAGCATGGAGAAAACATCCGAAAAAGGAAAAATTACTTCTTTCTTTGCTTCCAACTGAGCAGTTGTCTGCTTGAGCTGATTTTGTAAAGAGCTACTTTGTGCCAGCGATAGAGCATTTTTCTGGAGTGTAAAATATCAAAAAATCAGAATAGAAACTACAATCACAAATTAAGCAAAGCAGCCACCTGATTTAGCTTTGTGATTTCCTTCGATGAAGATTGAAGCAGCTCATTCAAACCTTCTGTAGCCTGTTTCGCAACTCTCCGAGCCTAGAATTTGAGAGTGGCAATGACTGTACGAGGAATAAAGTTTTGGAGCTGGCTAAAATTGATTGATCATTCGCTACGACAAACCTGATCAAGCACATTGCTTTGCGTACGTAAAATGTGGACTCGCAAAATTTCGAGGGCATCCTGAAAAAGAGCAATTCTGAACAACCCTGATCACTGTTTTTTAGGTCATACAAGCAGTCATCCCAAGTCAGTGAAATTATATAATGAAATCGCTGCGCTCTTCACGAAGGATGTTATGTAGGAACTGGTAATCTAAATGTCAGATGTCCCAATAGACCAAACATTTCATTCCTGATGAAATCCTGGTGTCATCTACCGAAAAAATATTTTTAGGGCTTTTGGGGGTATGGCTTATAGACCAGCAGGCCTATAGGCCCATACCCCCAAAAGCACCAGAAAAAATTTTCTTTTGAAATTTTCTATGAATCATTTCAATTGTTTACAAGCGAGAAAATTTCCTCGTGCAATTTCATCCAACACGTGATTACCGCTGTTTTTATTGTAAAATCAGTTCCTACATACCATTATGTATCAACCCTATGGGGACGCGCCATACTTGATCCGCTTGGTCCGCTTCATCATTGATCAATTCAGTGAACTAACCAATGGTGAAGCGGATCAAGCGGATCAGGCGGACCAAGGGGATCAAGGATGGCGCCTGCCATACCAGCGTTCACGAATCTTCTCTACAGAAGAGCAGAGATAATGCGTAAAGCTTTGAAGCTTTGTACATTAGCGCTACAAATAAAAAGAAATTTGACTAACATTCAGTTCCCGATTTCTCTTATGCAGCTGTTCTTTTTCCTTCTCATTCACGTGACACCGCAGCGCGTACCGTTGAAGTTGTGCTCTAGCCTCTGCTTCATTTAGCTTCTGAAAAGATACATCTGTTGCTAAATATAAAGAAAAGATAAGCGCATGTCGCCTCAGAGAACGCTGACTTCTTGAAAAACTTACTCCCAATTCCTCCACTTCAGCATCGTAAGTTTCGAAATTTCGCGCAAAAAAACTTCCATCACCATAAATTGCGGCTACGCGTTTCATGTCATCGTTTAACTTTGCGAACATAGTGTCTACGTGGTTAGCCAGCCTGAGATAAAAATTAACAGTCTCACTGGTCTCCTTGCAAAGAGGGCTTCGTATCGAATCGCCCGTGGTTTTACTAATAAGATATTGGTGAAAAACCACATTTTGGCAAGAGCCTCTTACCGTCAGATGTGCCACAGGAAATAACTGAAAAGTCACAGCCCCCAAAATAAGGAAAACTGTATAACGAAGTAAAGTATGAGAACATGTGAAAACTATTAGGTTGGTCCGAAAGTTCTGTCCACCATTCAAAAAATCTTAACTTCTTCCCAGCACGATGTTTTTGCATGGCTAAAATCATATTGAAAAGAGCAATTCATGCATTTTCCAATGCTACCTTGGCTGCTATCTACTAAGCCCTGAATGCAGAGATAAAATTGGGAAAAGGAAATCACTTCAAGTTCGGAATTCTTAAGCAAGCCCGTTAAAAAATCCAAAACTGTGCCATAAAATCCAAAACAGCTAGTAACCTAGGTTTTCGGATCCCCTCTTTCTTATATAAGCAAAATTCGCGCTGATGGAGCCCTTCTCAGAAAAGTTATGATTTTCAAGAAAAAATGCCAAAAAATCAGTTTGTTAAGAAAATCGATTTTTTGACATTTTTTTCAAAAAATCATAACTACTGAAGCAATGGAAAGAGGGGGCCAAAAAGTCTAGGATACTGGCTGTTTTGGATTTTATGGCACAATTTTGGATTTTTTAACGGGCTTGCTTAAAAATTCCAAACCTGGAATGATTTCATTTTCCCAAATTTATCTCTGCATTCAGAGCTTAATAGATAGCAGCCAAGGCAGCTTTAGAAAGTGCATGAATTGCTCTTTTCAATATGGCTTTAGCCATGCAAAAACATCATGTTAGGAAGCAGTTATGATTTTTTGAAAATGGTGGGACAGAACTTTCGGACCAACCTAATAGATACGATAAACTCACTTCTCGCAGGACACCGCGGGCAACAAGTTTTCCCCTCCTAGATACTCATTGTCATCTCTGATCACAGCCTCAGTACCATCCACAATGTGACTTCCTTCAGAGTGGCATCTATAAATGTATCATATCAGCCATAACTAAGCACGGTATAACCAGGTTAATGCAAGACAGATGATTATACCTGTTCTCTCTACTGTGATTTACGAATAATTTTCTAGATGACGCAGGACGGTGATGGTGGCTACTGTTATACTTTGTGGCCTCAGCACCAGCTGGTATAGAAGAATCAGCAGAATCAGCCGGTGAAAATAGGTTTTGACTGCTCATCTATATGAAACTGCATTATGCGTGGAAAACGAATAAGCAATTCTCGTGCATTCTAAGCTTGCGAATAGCGCGATTTGCTCTGTAGCAGAAAAGAAAGAATTGATATCCCCGAACACTATGACCGAGCATCGATTTTCTCTCCGCTCCAAGCGATAGAAGTATCAAACGTCAACCACCATACTTCTTATATATAAAGCTGAATGTCTGTTTGTATGTATGTATGTATGTATGTCTGTATGTCTGTCTGTACGTATGTTCCGAATAGAAAATTCCATTTCTGAACCGATCCGGACCAAACTTGGCACACATACACTACGGGCCCCGGCGGGTGTCATAGGCTACTTTTCGTCATCGATCGATATCGATTTTATCGATTTTTATCGATTTTTTTGCTGAGTTCACCTACGGGGCTGGGAGTTGGCACAGGGGGGTAATCGAGCATGCTGATCATCCCCAAGGGGGGTGATCAGCATGCTATTACACCCCTGTGCCAAATTCCAGCCCCCTAGCTCGAATTTTCAAAAAATTGATAAAATCGATAAAAGTAATGGATGATCTTGAAAACTAATGTTGTATCCGTAATCTGCATGCTCGATTACCCCCCTGTGCAAACTCCCAGCCCCGCAGGTCAAACTTTACAAAAAAATCGATAAAACCGATAAAAGTAATGGACGATCCTGAAAACTAATATTGTGTTCGTAATCAGCATGCTCGATTACCCCCTGTGCAAAATCCCAGCCTCGCATGTCAAAATTTACAAAAAATCGATAAGATCAATTAAAGTAATCGATAATTCTGGAAACTAATATTGTATTCGGAATCCCCATGCTCACTTCCCCCCTGTGCCAACTCCTAGCCCTGTAGGTGAATTCTGCAAAAAAATCTATAAAAATCGGTAAAATCGACATCGATCGATAACGAAAAGTGGACTGTGACACCCGCCGGGGCCCGAAGTGTATGTGCCAAGTTTGGTCCGGATACGGCGGAGCCGGGTAAGCCAGCTAGTACCCTATATGGCAGTGGCGTACCCAGGATTTCCGCTCGGGGGGGGGGCGACAAAAATTTTTTTCGAATGAAGGTGCGTGGCGTTAGCCACGCACTCCGAAAAAATTTTTTTACAAGGCTAAATTGAATTCTTAAAAAATTTTAAAAGTTATTTTAATTATTTACAATTATAAACAAGTTACTTGCACATTTTTATAACCCATATAAGTAACTTTCAAAAAATTCGCGACCCCCCCTCCTCGGTACGCCACTGCTATATGGATGATGTGGAATCAAGAAGCAGATAGAAGTGGCTAACCGCACAGCTATAATGCGACACTGCGGACTTTCTCCGCATCTCTCTAACTAAGATGGGTGCCAGACTTAGAATTCAACCGGCTCATCAGGTCCACCTTATCCGCGATTGTTCGTAAAATCACTGAAATGACCAATAGCGAATGGGGTGGACCGGATGAAGCGACTGAAATGAATAGATAAGTCTGGCACTTGCCTAAGTCAGATCTTCCAATCTCCTACCGTCTGATGCCTCCCCCAAACATTTCGAAAACGTCAGCATGCGGTGCCAAATGTCAAATACACCAAGAAAACGATTCCTTGGCATGGATATTTGGGTAAGAGAGAAGAAAACCACATTATCCAATCGGTTCTGTTCAGAAAAGAGATCCAGACAGACATAACTGCGCTGATTGGCCGAAGTCAACAAACTCAAACTTTGATAGACACACAAGTTTTGCACGGCAAAACAAGACAAACAAGACCAAAAAACGATGGCATTCTCAGTATAACGAAAGACAAAAAAATTGGAGCCCTGAACCATTTTGGCCATGACAACATTGAACACAAGATTAGATACAAGTTTACTCATTTGCAAATTTCGTACTACTTTAGGTGAATGCAAATGTAAAATTGTAGAACAGCAATAGACAAACAACATTGATAATTCAGTAGGGAAAACATTTGAGAAACAAAGAAAAAGACACATGCAAAAAGTGGGGCTTGTGTAACTGTTGCTCAACATGTTCCGAGTGACCCTATATGTCAACTTTTGTGAGTTTTTGAGATCATCACAAAAAGAAACTCCATAATTTTTCGTAGTCAATCAAGGTTTACGACTTCCACAGGCTTCGTCGTTTCCGCGCCCAATTCCTTTTCAACGTCAAATGAAGTGATCATCTCTTCATCCGCTTGAGTTTCCTTTTCTAGTAACTAAAAAAAAACTGCTTGACAGTTAATCCACAACATTACATTATCACTTACTTTGTCAATATCTTCCTTCATCTCAGTATAAAAGCTCTTCACTTTGTCAGGCGTTTTCGTACCAAGCACCTCAGCAACTGCATCAAAATCTCTTCCATAGCGAAGGAGACCTCAAACAATGTAATCGTGTCTCAGCTTCGGAAAAATCTTCTACTGATCAGCTTTTTGTGATTAAATTACACCTGCATCGCTTTCAACCCACGGAACTTTTATCCGCGAAGAACAAACTTACAATGAAAAGCAATCATTCGCTCCTCTTCAGTCCAGGTGTGACTGCCTCGCACTCGATCGCGACGTGAGCTCCCATCATCATCACGTCGATCTTCTTTCGAAACAAGATGCCTGTGGAATGTGTTCAAACTAGGATTGTTACAGACGTTCGTCTTCTGATATATACCTGTATGAATCCAAGCCATTCATAAGCCCTTCCGCTCGTTGAGATTTCAGTGTGCACTCAAGTCGTATGGCTCTTGAGCGAACTTTTGTTAACTCCCTCATCACCGCTCTCAAAAACCCACATAACGGTGAGCAGATTCTTAATTCTGAACTTACTTCGTCTCCTCACTGCACTTAGTTTTCGGGCTCTGAACCACTTGCACACCCTCATTATCACACTCGCTTACGTCGACAAGCTTAGCCATCTCAACAAATTCGTGGGCGATGTCTTGCATGTCTTAACAAAATAAAAACTGTCGAATGATTATGAAGAAAATATGAGATAAACCTTCGGGACATTTGCGAGCCTTCCTTTGACGGAACTCACTGATGGCCGCAGTATAGTTACATGGACGATGCTTTCGCATAAGTCTGAGTAAGGGTGGAGTACGGAGGCTACAAAAGACACAGAATTCAAACTTACTTGTAGTACATTCGGCATACATAGCAAAGTTTAACTTCATCAATCGGCTGCAGCGTACGACATTCTTCACCACAGTTATCGCAAAGGCCATCCTCATAGTCAAGTTCATCGTCGGATCTGGAAAGTCAAAATTAAGTCTAGTGCAAACTTCAGGCGATTTCAGTAGCGAAGCAATTGACAATGCTCCGACTGTTCTAGCTCACGCATGCTGAATTAGGAAGATGAGACATATTACCAACTCTACATATGCAGTTTTGTTTTCCAATGCTGTATTTGAAGATAATTGGCAAATAGCCAGACCGCTGAAATCGCGCGAAGTTGGTATCATTCGTTATCTTTATCTCAACTTTATCAAACTGCTTATCACCACAGAAGGGGTTATATAAATACTCAGGCTCTCAAGTATGATTCAGTTTACGTTCTATTGCTCACAGAGGATCCAGAACTACTTCTCACAACACTGGACGTCTACAGCACCAGCATATGGCTGAAGTCAAAGCTCCTACAAGCCGAACTACCAAGGACGATGAGAAGACAACATCATCAGCTGCTACAGATGTACGCAAAGAATGTCCTACATGCCACGTCTCTATAATGTCGAATGCGGATCCGAGCAATTCGAGGTTGATCGCCACTTGGGAATCATGTTTGTAACGGAGTTCGAAAGCTTGGTGAAAAGACGTGATACCTTGGCTTTAGAGTGCAACTCTACTTGTGCCTGGTCCTCGGTTGTTCCAGAACGCAAAAGTATAGCCATACCATCCAATACGACCAGTTGTTCGCTCTGTCACATTTGAAGTGAGCTCGACTTGAGCGGCTTGTATCTCGCGCGGCCGCCTCGCCTGAACCCTGCATCGTGTTCGCGAACGTATCTGGCCATTTCCACTCCTCACTGATTGGTAACCGTGGAAAAATGGTTAGAGAGTATGTTGGAAAAGGCATCGCAGGGTCCAGGCGAAGCAGACGAGCGGGAAGCTGAGCCGCTCGAATCGTACTCACTCCATGTGGGACTAAGGGTGCAAGAGCCAGGACAACGATCATGCCACCATCCTCAACTCCGTTGGCGCCCCATAATAGACTTTAGGTGGGAAAGAATTATTTCAGATTCAAGCTGAAACCTGGCGAATACATGTTCGACTTTGAAGGATCGACAACATCTACGCAATCGCTGTCGACTTACTTACACATGTTTAGCGTTTCTAATGTTTACAGAATGTTTTTCAATTATACGCAAGTACTGCAGGTGAGCAAAGCAAGTAATATGAACTATGCAAAATACAGATATTTCAGTTGGACACACATCGCTGTTGCACAACTTATAGCATTTATGGAAATCAAAATAGATTCAATGACATTCCCTGTATAGAAGAGACTAGAGTACACGTCAAGTGAGTGGCAAGAACTGCAGCTAATTGCATATAGGGTTTCTCAAGAATGATCTAGTTTACCAATTTCAGACATCCTACGGCAGACCATGATTACATTCACGCCAACTGGGTTGATGGCTATAGAGAGCCGAAAAAATTCATTCTCACACAAGCACCTCTGGCGCACACGATAGACCAGTTCTGGAACATGATATGGCAGGAGAAGAGTGTGCTTCTTGTTTCAATGATACAAATGTTCGATGTCAACGGCGCAGAGGTAGATACCACCGCGATATTTCAACAAAAATTACAGCATCACTTCTTAGTGGGGTATATGCTACATTCCTCAGAAGACAGGAGAGGAACTCAATACTGAAGGAATAAAAATAGTACACTGTGGGACACGTTGCGTTCGACGAACGTACGATGCTACACTACTTAAAGTACTGTCAGCTTTAAATTTGACATAAAAATAATTTCTCAAATTGCAGGTCGTTCGAGACGGGGTGGAAAGGAAGTTATTACACATATGCTTCTTTTCATGGGGACACAAAGGAACTCCGCGCAGACCAACAGAATTACTTAACTTTGTGGCAGATATCAATTTCAACAGAGAATTGCTCGTAAAAGAAGCTATTGCCGCTGGCTGGTTAAAAGAAAATGAGACGTACGTGTGGACTTCGTCTTAATCGCGAAGAATTTGAATCTTTAAGCAGTCCCTTAGTCGTGCACTGTCTTTCGGGAGCAGCTCGGAGCGCTACTTTGGTCGCCCTAGACATTTGCATGAAAAAGATGGACGATACCGCCAGCAAATCTTGCGGAGCTCTAGTAGATGTGGAAGATGTGGTGCTGCGAATTAGAACTCAGCGTGCTATGGCTATGCAGGTAAGGTCAGCCATGCATAACTCAGAACCCAACTAGAATGCTTCCAGATACCCGAACAATACCTATTCCTACACCTCGCCGTTTTCGAATACGCTATACGGCAACGATACATCGCGGATGAAACCTATACCGATATAGGAGTTGAAAATTACTTCTATGAAGCACGCGAGGCAAAAAGCGAAGAACCAGTGCAAAGCAGCAGGACCGCTAGAACTCCCAGGAAGCGTAGCAAGAGACTGGGCCCTAGCCACTGAAGCACGGAGATGTAAGAAAATGACTACAACAGAAATCCAAACGCATTTCAAACAATTACTGGCGTGTTTAATAAACGTCTTGGAACCCTTCGAATATGTATTTTTGCACAATCTGCACAAAGAATATTCTTATTACTTTTGCGCGTTTCTCATTTTTTACGTAATGTAGCTGCAAAGACTCACCCTTCTTCCTCATCTGTATCGTCAGCGATTCTACTGTCGAACAGGCTTTTGTAATCCGTGTCCTTTTTAGTGTTGTAATAGAACTGGACGATAGATGCCATTGAGCGGTGAGGCATCTTAAAATGGCTTCGATAAGCAATTTTTGCAAATCTGCATAAACATAAAGAGAATCTTGTTACCGTCTGACGAATTTTGTCAAATCTTTTGCCAAACATATGGAAAGCTTGTTTGAATAGGGTGCGATCGTCTTCGGACCATTCCTCGGTTATGAGACGCCTTCGCTTCACCTTCTCTCGGGCCACGTCAAAATTGAAATTCGATTTTTGCAGGATGTACAAAGCCTGCAAATCATGCGACTGTCAGATAGGGCGCTAGTGATGGCTACAGGATCTCCGTTTTGGAGTAATAGTCAACAACTTCTACTCACAAATATTGATCACACTAACGTCTAAGTCCTAGTCGCAATAACCGCACTTACCACCTTGTTTATGTTTCTTACGAAAGAAAAGTAGGCGAAACACGTGAAGTGATTATAATCATAACGACATTGTGTAGCGAGCGGAAAGCTTTGATCACAAATGAATACAACTCACTCTGTCATAGGTCAACTTATACACTCCAATTGCGTCTTCACAATAATCCATAAGCTTCGTTTCATCCAATTCACCCGGAGGAGCACGCCACATAACCTTAAAATTCACCTATAAGTTGTACAAGTTACAATAAATTTTCGTGAAAGCTATAACCCACATATTCCCTCTCGTCCTCTTCCTCCTCTGACAACTGGGGAAGTGTCTGATCGTCTTTGTGTGAATCCTCCACACGAGCTTGGAAATCATCACCAACATTGATTTTCCTATCAGCGTTGGTCATCATCGCTATAACCGCACGCTGATTATGAATTACCAGACAGAAACATTAGCAAGGTAAACCTTTGAAGTCGCCTTCCAAATCGTCGTCCTTTTCTTCTTCATCTATCTCATCATCCGTTTCATTTCGCTTAGCTCTCGATCGTCTGGATCTTTTCGTAGGTGTTTTCTATAAAGCGTACAAACAATAAATCCTTCCAGAAGCTCCACAAGAACCAATATATAGAAAAAACTGTCTTACCTTGGGTGGAGAATCTCCATTCGACTGCGGCTTGTCTTCTGTATCCGTATGATCCGTCTGTGGTGCATCATTTGACGTTTCCTCTTTCATTTCATGCGAGAAGTGTGCAACACTCTTAATTTCTAATTACGAAGGTGAAAGTGCTAAAAAACCAAGCACTGTATACAACAAATCCACCGAAATCTCAACAAGTAAAGAAGATGTCAGAACATTGGACCAAGAACTATCGATAGCAGAGTTTGCTAGAATCTCAGTCACGAACATAAACACAGGCAAAAAATATATAAGAATTTTGTAAACGGAAACGAAGTAGAACATGTTTTATCAAGCCAGCAAAAGGGTACTCACTGCCTCCGAGTGCGCGTCCGAGTGCAACTCCGATGTTGCGTTTGAAGGAGCATCCATCTCAATTTCATGATCCAGTATTGACTCATCGATATCCTCGACTGCTGTTAGATTAGCTCCCTCAACTGGTTCATCTAGGATCGACTCGTCCACCTCATCTGCTTTAGGCTCTGATGACATTGCTGAAACGAGGAATTTCTGAAGACAATCCTTGATAGCAACTAGGAAGTGATATAGGGAACAAAACCTGAACAAACGCAAAAATTTAGAATTTAAAATCATTTATTACCGCAAGAACTAAGATGATTCCATATAAAAATTCTTTCATGCAATAATCATAAATTTGACCTTCAAGAGACATAAGCAAAGTTTCAAAGACTCTCAGCCCTCAAATATGTTGGAAAACAACCCGTCAAATTCCTATGGTCAAGGGAGTGATCTACGTCCAAATAACTACATACAGCAATTGTAGTCACCAGAAACATCATACTGAGAATAGATCATAAGCTGCACAGCGAAGCAATATAGCAAGGAATGTTATGTCGTAAAGCACTTGACGGATCAACTTCCAGATCATCCGTATGTGTTGGAACATCTAAACTAGAGTTCTAATTTACGATGGACACAACCTCTCCGGTAGATGATAATCAGATGATTGTTACAAAATAGGACATTTGCATTTCACCTACATAAACGCGATCACGACATCTCGGGCTGAGCATCCATTTGTTTCCCGAAATTGGTTCGACTAATCAAATCAGGTGGCACTTGTTGCATCAACAATTCAAGTATATCATTGAACTTGTTCATCAGGTCATATCTCTGCTCCTCCACGAACATTTGCATCAATTCACCTACTTGTAGAAGTTTCTGGAAGAAAAACCACTACTGAACATAAATGCTACGGTAAAAAATATCGCTCACTTGCTCAAATCGCCTATATGCCTCCAAAGTTTTCTCTTTGGCGACGGTGTCTTCATTCGGTATTGGCTGAGGAACATCGTCAACGATAATGACCTCGTCTTCACCTTCTCCATGTTCTTCGACTTCTTCCTCATCTATATCGAAATCATCGTTACTGCAGGCCTGACTAGAGCTTTCATACGAAGACGTGCTTGGATCCAGAGTATAAGCACCACTTGCACTGGTGTTGGCCAGTTCGTGATCCACAGAGTTTTCATTCTCTGAAATCGCACTATGTATTAGCTATAAAAGATTGGACTGCCTGAACCTGTGGATGTTGGCAGTGGATGAGGATGCCCACAGTGTCCAAAACAAGAAACGACTTCTACTAAGCCATCTCTGTGAAGTTGGACCTTAATAAAGAAGTGTCTGACGATGACTTAGCTGATTGTCGAAACTCCAAACAAAATAAAGAATGGATGACACTGAAAAGTCAAAAATCGAGCTCAAACTTTGGATAATTACGAACCATTATCTTCATACATGGTCCGATTCTCTTAGGGCCGCATGCACTAACATCCCCGAGGGGAGGGGATCGCAGCTTAAAAGAAAGCTTTATATTTCGAAACTCCAAATACCTGGATTTCACGTTGTGTACCTATCCGTAAGTATTCCTACTACCCTTCACTATGAACATGTTGCACAGGAGCGAGAAGCTGTACAAACCGCATTTTCCAGCTTTTGTATGATCCCTGATGATCCCCGGCGCTTTTCTTTGAAGTCATTTTTCTTTCTCCGAAGTCAACGAAAAGCTTCCAAAGTTGTACTGAACATCTAACACAACAGTGCTAAGCATGTTGCTGATGAGAACAATTGATGTTTTGAAGTCATGAAATTTTCGATGATCCACAGGTCGAAATTTGAGGTTTACCGAAATATTCGACTTTTCAAAATCCCATTTGTTCTCATCAGCAACATGCTTAGTACTATTGTGTTAGATGTTCAGTACAACTTTGGAAGATTTTCGTTAACTTCGGAGAAAGAAAAATGACTTCAAAGAAAAACGCCGGGGATCATCAGGGATCATACAAAAGCTGGAAAATGCAGTTCGTACAGCTTCTCGCTCCTCTTCAACATGTTCATAGTGAAGGGTAGTAGGAATACTTACGGACAGGTACACAACGTGAAATCCAGGTACCTGGAGTTTCGAAATATAAAGCTTTCTTTCAAGCTGCGATCCCCTCCCCAACGCGGAGGTTAGTGCATGCGGCCCTTAGATGCCACCTGATACCTTCTTCAAATTTGACGAATATGTGTGAAAGCCAAGTTAAAAAAGATAAGTAATACAGTGAGCTGAAGGGTAAATGTGGTGAACGTGAATGAAGTAAAAAAACGGCCTAATGAACACCGTTTATAGACACACGTCGTCTTCAGCCAGCTCTAACAAGATTAAGCATGATCTTTTTCATGCAATCAACACATTTAAAATAAAAGAAAACCTTTACGAATTGTTGATAGCAGCTCTTGCACTTAACCAGAAGCATTTGTTGAGTTGCACTAGTTCAAAAACGTCATAATGTAAAAGGTAAGAGGAAGATCATAAAAGCTTACCTTGACAAAGCATGGGCAGTTTTTGCACGTACGTGTCTTCTTTCTGGCGCGTTTGCTGGGATCCCGCGGTTCCACGCTTCCACGAGAATGTTGACAAGTGTACATGATGGTGGTCCAAGTATTACTCTTTCTAAACGTCCTCTTCACCAGTTTTGTAGAAGTTTCCATCTCTTTTTCTTCTCTCCACATCTGAAAAGCTCAACGCCAACATAAAGACTTGAAAGAGATCGACTGGATAATAACAAACCTCAAAGTCCGACCATGTATTGAAAACTTTTTCTACGATACTAAAATCCGTAGTACCGTCACTGTGCTCTTTTCCACAGTGCTCGGCCAAATCCAGAGTGCTGTAGAACTGCTCGTTGCAAATTGGGCAAACGACACAATGTTGAACCTTTGGCGCCGATTCGCCCGGAGCATTAGCTTTCTTGTGACGAAGCTGCAAAGTCAACTATATCTATCACTGACGAGTCTTCAGTTTGTAGATCTGTATGGCAATGCGATACTCCTGACATTGCAAACTGGCGTCACTTTACAAATTTTAAAAGGTAACCTCGAGAAGTTGACCGCAGTTTACTGATTGCAAAGAGCATATCTCAAGAGGCACGATTTTTACTGCCAGGTTAGAGCACTTTAGTGTTTACAAAAGCAAAATCTTCTCTAATGAAATGGGTCCGGATAACGGAGAAGTACCGATCGTTGCATTGCATAGGCTGTTCAATCTTGTTAACTCAAAACAGTTTCAAATAAATGTTGGAGATCATAATAGGTGGAAACGCACCAATGGCAATGAGAACCACTATCAATTTTTCACTCACTTTTAATGGTTGGAACCTTCAGATAGCTAGCAAGCAAAAAAAAACTTATGTATTTTTTAAAAACTAGCATAACTCTACATTGGGCGTTGTATTGGTCACCTGGAAAATGCGAGCCTCTTCACTGTCTCCCCTAGCACAAAAACAAGTCAAACTTAACATCTTTGAATAAGAGAAAAACATTATTATCAGTATAAACAAGACAAAACAGACTTGCAAAATACTGCTTTAAGATGAGATATATATGAAAACGAAGCTGCTTACTCTCTTATGCGTCCTCAACCCACTAGAGGAAAAGTAGATTTTTCCACATATATTGCATGGCTCTTCTTCTTTTCCGTCATACATTGCTCTCTTGATAGCATTCTGTATCTTCGTGACGTCTTCGTTAGGGCATTTGTGAACACGTCGTAGATGAGCATAGAGTGTTTTCAAAGGAAATGGTCCTTTGTCACATATGCAACATTTCGCTGCCGTATACATTCTGAAAACTACTATTTTTTCCAGAAAAAATACAAGAAACACGATAAACGCGAGCCTTAGGGACCCGTCATACTTCGCCGAAAAAAGCCCAAAAGCGCCCCAAGCCCAAAAAAGCCCAAAGCGCCAGAAAGCGCCAGAAAGAGCCGGAATGTAGAAACGAACTTTTGGTAGAATTCTGGGCGCTATTCCAGTATCCGGGGCCCAAAATTTTTTTGTCGTGGATTTTGTTGAAACTTGGCCCAGGAGGGTTATTCGGGCCGCTGATGCCGAATATCATATTGGTTTTGTACGGTAGCGTCATTTTCTCGGGTTACGGTGGGTATACGGTAGAAGGTCAAAATCACGGAATTCGCTGAAACTTGACCTAGGGGGGTTATCTGACATGCTGATCACGAATATCACATTTTCTCTGCAGGAAATCGCCTCCCTGTGGGGTTACGGTGGGTGTACGGTAGGGGGCCAAAATCACGGAATTCGATGATACTGGAATAGCGCCGAATTCTGACTTTATCTTATCATCCGGACGGCAGAAAATGACAAAAAGGCTCGATCGCGAAGTCAACACACATGCCTTAGCGCCAAAACGTGCTCGAGAAGAACGAGAAGTGTTCCGGCCTTTCTGGCGCTTTTGGGCTTTTTCGGGCTTTTTTGGGCTTCTTTGGGCTCTTTTCGGCGAAGTATGACGGGTCCCTTACTCTGCAAAGGGAGTGGTCAGATGCACGCTTTGCGTAAGTCTGATTAACAAGTCTGAGACTGCGTTTTAACGCTTCTTGGCAAGTCACTAATAGAAAATCATAAAAGGACATGTTCAAGTCACGTTGTTTACCAAGCTGGAACATGTTCCTTCACCAGTATACGCCAAGGCGTTGTAGGCAGCGTCCAGGGCAAATCAGCCATAGGGATCTTACGTGGAAAGTAATTTTGGGGCTTTAACTAAAGCACTGCCCAAGCGGCAGCGCAGGTGGCTCACTAACGGCTGAGATATACGCCTCCAAACTGGACCCCAGGATCGTATTTCGCATAGATTTATGGCGCAACCCATCAGTTTCGCGCGAGGACTTACGGGTTGCGCCATGAATCCATGCGAAATACGATCCTGAAGTCAAGCTTCGAGGGGTATATCTCAGCCGTTTGGGCACTACCTGAGCTGCCGGTTTTGCAGTGGCTTAGTTAGGGCCCCAAAATCACTATCCACTGAGATCCCCATATGTCCAGATTTGCCTGAACGCTGCCTTTAAAACGCACTCTTAAACCTGTGAATCAAAGTACGCAAAGCGTGCCCGTGTCTCTTAGAGAATGAATGATATCGTGCATCCCAGAATTGTTCTCATATGAACCGCCAGATAATGAGGTTTACAGACTACCTTTGCTTTCATATATATAGTCATTTTAGAACCAAATACTTCTTGGACGAAAAGCAAGACGTATGAGAAAGTATTGAGATAAATCATTCACATTGACCAGCTATAGGGCTCTGTGGTCGAGAGTCGATGAATTCGCGGCCATTGCACACGCAGGACAGGATACCACGAGGCCTAAACCAGCGAAATAATCTTGCTTTTCAATATCCTTTCAAATAATTGGAAGCTAACATCTGATAGCAGGAAAGCGTTTGAAAGGAGAGAGATAGAAGCTCCATCCACTTGCAATAGCCGCCGAGTCTTGCGACCACGCAGAGCCCTATATGTACAGTCTGCTCCAATCGGGATCAGGCCGAAGCGTCGGCATAAATTTGTGCGCATTCGCAGCGCTAGCGGTCTGCGCTGCATATGCGAGCTGTCGGAGAGAGCCAAGGGATTGAAGAGAAGAGAAGCAGGCCGTGGGCGTGATCGCGAGACCCTAACGACGCGGGCTCCCGCCATGCCAATTTTGGCCTGGTTAGGATTGGGGCAGACTGTATGGTTGATCTGCACTCCCTCCCCCCCCCCCCCTCCCCCCAGAAATGCCTAAATAGCCGCGAAGGTCCCTATGGTAGGTGCCAGAGTAAGCGAATATTTTGTTCAGCTTCGTTCAGCCGCAAAAGGCGCACAGAATTAACGTTGATTCTGCGCGGCACCTGCAGCTGAAGCAAGCCTTGGCAGCAGTAGAGATTATGCAGCAGACATTAATTCTGCGCGCCTTTTACATCTGAACGAAGCTGAACAAAATATTCGCTTACTCTGGCACCTACCTATAATGCGCTCAAAAACTTCTAAAGCAAACACACTTTTTACATCGTAAACGTATTATCTGTTCTGAGATTAGGAATCGGTTAAATAACGCATTGAAATTGTCTAAATAAGCCTAAACGTTCAACCCCGTACACCCTGGTTCCATGTAGTATCTACATAGATAAGCTTACAATTCGATGAGATTAATTACAAGAATATACTTGTTAACCACAAGATCGACCTTGTTTGGACGATGTCCGCAAAGGTACTCGAGTTCTCAAGTCTTATAATAGATGATATTATTCAATTTGCTTATGATTTGGGTATCAGGAAATATGCAGGATAATTGATAGGCAGAACGAATGTCGCAAGCGTCAGAGGCGGCAGTCGCGCTGCTGGCTGTTTGCGTCGCGGTTTATCAGTGGTCCATTTTAGCCCATCGTCCAGGCGGAGTTCAAACTGATTCCCATGCTGCGGGACTGTTCCCGCACCGTTCCCGCACTGTGCTGGAAATGTTCCAGAACTGTACTGTATGCGGAGCCGCGCGCATGCAATTTTGAGTGGCAGGATTTGAAGAATTTTGACCGTTTCCAACGGATTTTTTTCCAGGTTCCTCTCATTTTGGCCTTATTTTTCTACCCCGATTCCCTTTTGGATCAGCACTTCGAACTCGCGGAGCTGGAGAAATAACCTTGTTCTGTTCCATATATCCGGGCAGATGGGCCTTCGTGCGCTCGTTTTCTTCCCATTTTTGTTGAGACGTACTTCTTGTGTTCTAGAGACCTGTCTATGTCCTTTTCAATACGAACGCGGACTACGCAGCGGCTTCCTGGAACAAATGGGATAGGTGTGAGTAAAATTAAAGCGAAGAGAAAATGGACGAGCACAAGAACACACATTTTGTCGCATACGCAGAATAGAAAAGCGCTTACTCTTCAGCCCTGCTTCGAGTTTAAAGTTCTCTGATCAAAAAGGGAAGCGATTAGAGGAATAAAGCCAAAATGAGAAGAACCTGGAAGAAAACCCATTAAAAATGGTCAAAATTCTTCAATTCTCGCCACTCGAAATTGCACGCGGCCGGCTGCAGCGCATACACAGTTCTGGAACAGTTCCAGCACAGTGCGGGAACTGTGCGGGAACTGTTCCGGAACATGGGAATCAGTTGTACCCAGCCCCAGATGACTGACTAATAAACCCGCTGGGACCCAGAATTTTCATGCTTTGCTCCAGCTCAAAGGTAACGTCCAGACACAATTGAGGTGATGAAGTGTGTGGTACAGTAGTAGGCCCCAATCAAATGAGTGTCCCAGTGCTGTTGAAAGTTGCTTTCATTGCGAGAAATCGCTCGAAATGTCGTGGGAGCCTGTCCAGTGGCACACCTACTGCACCAACGTGGTGATGTATGTAGGCACCGATACTAGACGTACTGAATGTCGACTTCTCTCCCCCCCCCCCCCAATCCCAACTTCCCATGTAATAGGCTCCCGCCAGAGTGCGCCGGCGCCGAGCCAGCGTCGAGCTTCCCCGGCGCTGTTTCGATCGATACATACGCAGTTTGTTGGGGCGTGGCTAGCTGATCTAGTTCTCCGCCAGGTAAATGCACCGACTATTGATCGAATTTGCCTGAGAAGCTCTGGTAGCCCTTGCCCGCACAGGGTCATCTAGCCCCGCTCCGAACAAACGGGACAGCTTGGCGCTGGCTCGGCGCCGGCGCAGCGCTGGCGTGGCTTCGGCACTCTGGCGGGGGCCATAAAGTAGCCACAGTCACTTTTGAGCTTGGTGAAGTTCAGTCTGGCAAATGCGACTGTCCAAACGCGCGCCTTTCGGCATACGCCCTCGTCCACGCCATACACCTATTTTCTTTCTTACTTTTACAATGAGAAGATTCTGTTCTATCACATTAAGCCAGGTTCATGGTTTCGTCGTTGAAAACGATTTTCAATGGACCCACTTTTTCAAAATGTTCTCATGAAATACGTGCTTCAGCGTAGAAACTCTTCTCATAGATCTTGTGAGGACTGTCTCTTTGCCACGTATCGAGATAAAAATTAACACCCTTGGGGCTATCTGACATGTTACTTTCAAAATCATTTCTGGCGAGGTATCAGAGTATCTGAAATGACTTAAAGCTGTTCAGGAATCTCTTATGAAAGCAAAACAGTTTTGAACATTTATTAAAACATCTTGGTAACTATGCAATAATGTAGAGAAATCCTGCTTTTCACATTGCTTCCGGCATGCGAATTTAGCCGGAGAAGAATATAACTTGAGTACTTGGCTGCCGAAGATGTCGTCGCGTTTAGATGATAAAATAAGAGACCACCTCTCTGCTTTGGGAAAACCTGGTGTGTTTATTAGTCACAGAGTGTCATTTTCATAGTTTCAAAGCTTCTTCATGAAAGTGTTGACCATGAATGGAGTCATTATTGAATAAAAAACAGATTGAACTTACATTAATATTTAGGCTAGGCAAACTCCTGGTAAAACCTGTTAAACATGTAGATGACATGCCAGTTTTTTTTTGACACGTAGTAGGAGGTTGACTCTCCATCTTGTAAAGTTCTTACCGAGTTTAGTATAGTTGATTCGTTGACCGCACGGACTGGACATCACTGCGGAGCACGCGCCGCGAGGTAAAACGCTTGTTCCAGTACAAATCCGCCATAGTACATAGTCGTGCTTTTGCGACAATTCAGCCGCGCTGCGCGTTGTCCGCAGCGCTTGAGCAGTCCGTGCGGTCAACGAATCTACGATACAAGAATAAAAACAATATTTTTCATATATCTTTAGCAAGCTTTTTCAAAAAAAAATGGGGTCGGATAGCGGAAAAGCTCGTGCATGGAGCAGCCGATGCAACTTTGTGGGTTTCAAAGGTTAGTCTACCTCTATGGAACTGTAAAACAAGGTTGTTGACCATTGCCGAGAATTCAAGCATTCGAAAAAAGTCATCGTGTTAGGTTGCTTAATGACGTTTATTTTATAAATCTAGCCTGTGAAGGTATGCGTGACTTCATATATTTCGTAAAGTAAGTTCTTTCAGAATGAATGTTGAACAGGCTGATTCAGGAGAAAATCGCCAAGAACCTAAAGAAGCACCTGAAAAAACGTCCAAACATCAACAATTCAAAACTTTTCAACTTTATCAATCCGTGTATTTCTCTAGTTAGGATTCTCTCTCCAAGAGCTAGTTGCACGCACTATGTGAGGAGTGGGCGCCCCTTTGGTTTGAAAGTAGAGGGACTTCTCTTCACTAGGTCATTTCTATGGGCGCCTCTAAATAGTTCAAAAGCTTTGTTATCAGCTTAACATCAATAATTTTCTTCATTCACTCTTGGAACTCCAGTTGTCCTTATTGCTTGTTTACTTGAAAATGTTCTATTTTATTCTGAAGACACAAAAACGAGCAAAAGTTGTTGCAAGCAGCGGTAAAAAGACGTTGGTCAATACTTGTAGCAGCCAAGGCAATCTCAAACTTGAATCAATCCGTTGTGGGTAAATTTTTGCCGGGGTCTGGTCATTTCTGAGAGCTCCTGTTCTCGCTTTTGCGACTTCTTCAAAGCAAGATTGAGTTCCGTTACCTAAGCAATTTGTGAAATAATCGAGTACTTACAAATATTGCTAACCTTATTTCTTAAAACAGTTAGTTGATTTTGAAGAGTCTTTTTCTCTTTCAAAAGAGCGTTCTTTTCTTTTTCACACGAGCAACTTTCTTGTCCCATTTGTTCCGCTACCTGTAATAGAAAGATGACAAATAGAAATCAAGTCTGTGTTAAAGGCAGTGGCTCGGCAAGTCTTTTCGCTTACCTGGGGTAATTCGACGTGCTAATTCGAAAATCCACTTTTTAGAGTGCAAAAATGGCGAAAACCAGCATTTTCCAAGCCCCCTCATTTTGAATTTGGACGAGTGGAACGCTCCCCGCCACGGTTAGAGACCAGTCGTTGTTCACATGTTTATAGCATTGCGGCAGCCGCCTCTAACGGCGTGAGGGATATCCGAGCTCGTCCAAATGGCTTGCGCGCACGTTTTTAGGGGCAATTTTCTAGGCAGGGGTTGCATGCTCTGCGCTCGGACCTGCTCCATTGTTGTTTTGGGGTGCAAGCAACATTCTATGTAGAAATTTCGAGATGTTCGATTTTGCCGGTCTACTGCCTTTAATGGCAGGTTCGCCTCTTTTTTGAACCAATGCATTGTTGCGGTAGCTTTGCGTCTCGTTTGCAGAGTAACGCATGTTAACATGCGCGAAAATAGAATTGAATCTATGCAAAACAATGTGCATTTCTGAAAGTTGGGGCTCAGTCCTCCCAAACATGACGTAAGGGGCAGGATGTAAGATAAAACAATGCCAACCTTAGATATACTATACCTAAAGCTGGCTGAGGGAGAGTTGTTATGACTAGTTGGCATACCGCTCCGCCCGGCCCTTCAATATCATGTTCGTAAATCAGCAATCTAATCAGCAATCATTTAATCAGCATTCTCACTCCCTCCCCCCTGTGCCAACTCTCGTAGCTCAGACTTTGCAAAAGATAAAATCGATGTTGATTTATAACAAAAAGTAGCCTACGACACCCGCCCCGCCCCGAAGTGTATGTGTGCAAAATTTGTTCCGGATTGGTTCAGGAATAAAAATTTCTGTTCCAAACATACGTACAGACATACATACAGACAGATATTCAGCTTTATATAATTGATATATAAGAAAGACTGGACAATGGTTTTTTTTTCGACTTGCACATATCTGTGAATGCGAAATCGACACTTAAGCATATAAACGTAGAAACCTCATGTTTCCTCGAACGAAACAGCTTCGAGCACGAAGCTATGTCATCGTAACCTTTGGCAATTTAGCAATTATCTAATAGTGCAGGAGCTGCAGAAGTTTGAAGTTCTTCTTCTTATACCACACCTCCAACATGTCATTTGAACACTAACCCTTCAATATATCTGCATTTTGGTAAGCTTTATGTGCATTTTTACCTATCTCAACTTCATAGTCGCAGCTCTTAAAAAGTTTAAAGCCATTAAACCTCTTATTTAACATCAAATGAAAGTGACCCACTTCAGGCAAAGACTTCCGCTCTTGCTGCAGCGATTTTTTCATCTCGAGAGTAAGCTCTGCGACCTGAACAAATTGACATGCTGTACATTGAGAGATGAAAATGTTAACTGCACCTTTTTATTGAGATCTTGCACCTGCTGATTAAGTGTCATTTTTTCTTCAAGGAGTGTGTCTTTTTCTTTACTCCATATCTTGGTCTGCTCCACTGCCTATAATAGAAGAGACAGTCTAAAGTCTATTATCTAACAATGAGCAACAAACTACAAGATTCAACGAATTTGAGCAAAACACGGACCAAAGCTTACCCTTTTCAGACCCAAAGTCATATCTTTCTCCCGCCGCTTTGATTCTTCAAGTAAGCGTTCGAGCACTTGTATCTTTGAGAGATTTGTCACTTCGTGTCAGCAGAAGTAACATAACTCAAACCTTACTGATTGCCTTAAATGATCCTTCTCTCATCCTTCTGTTGTCCTCCTCAAGCTTGCGTATTTTTTGCTCCATTTCTTCAAACTGCGAGTCCATCTCTGAGACAAAGTCTGTGATTTCGCATAGCTAATCGTTTCCTTTGGCATTATCTCGATGCCTAGCTTGCTGTATGCGAGTGAGATATAACGCAAAATGCAGTGGGCGACCGAGGAGGGGGAGGGAGGGGGGGGGAGATCGCGCGCGAATTCTCTGACAGCTATAGTTGCCCTCACCCCACTAGTCGGTCGGTGGACGAATTCAAATTTGAATTGGAGCACGCCTGTCACGGCAGAGCGCGGCAGGAGACAACGCTCAGCAATTACAAAAACTCAATATAGATCAAAAACGTTGTAACAATACAAAAACTGCTAAGCAATGGCGAAGAAATACGCAAAGTGAATGCGTGAATTTGAACGGAGAGCTAAGGTGCCGTGCTCTGCCGCGACCTGCCTGCTCCAGTTCGAATTCGAATTCGTCCACCGACCGACTAGTGGGGTGAAGACGACTATACTTACATACCCTCGATATCATCCCATATGTCTTCCCTCAACATGACGTGGATTACGCGGCTTGATGAGGCGCCGCCTCGCCTCGGGCTTGCGCCACGTTGCGTGCGCATTTTCGGCGTGATGTGGCAACAAGAAGAATGCGGAAAAGCCTGCGCCACGTTGTGTTGAGCGCCACGTCGCGCCAAATGATGCGCTCGCAACGTGGCGCGAGCCAGAGGCGAGGCGGCGCCTCATCAAGCCACGTAATCCACGTCATGTTGAGGGAAGACATACGGGATGATATCGAGGGTAATTATGAAATTGTGCAGGTGACTTGCTTGTAAATATGAATTGAGATAATTTTCAATGATTCAAAAATCTGAATGGGATTTGTAGAATACTTTCGAAGGCACGGCTGCCGACACGCCCCTTTTTCTAAAGTGTTAGGGTCGTGGGCTCGCGAAAACTTTTGCAACTATTCCAAAAAATTTTTTCGGAGTGCTGCTTGACCCAACGCAACTTCATTCGGAAAAATTCCTGTACCTCCCCCCCCCCTTCTAGGACCGCTACTGCGATAATGGTACATTCATGAAATTCACGATTTCAGTTTTTACTGAATAAAGGCGCTTAAGTGGCTTGATTGTTAGTAGGCTAAGGACCTCAGAGTTGGTTATGTTCACGTGAAAATTAAAATTAGCTGTTTATGTGGAAAAATTAAATTGTAAGAAATCGCGAAAAGGGAATTTATAACTTCATTTTAGCTTAGCCTGTCAAGCTGGCATTCGGCTAGTCCCACGTGAACCAACCTTAGACAGCAACTCCTTCTATTCCAATAATTTGCCGGCTAAAGACTCATCCGAGGCTCAAATTTTTGGGTCGTTTAAACACGAATTTCTAAGGATTTGCCAGTTTGTATATGGTAATGCAGTAATAGCATTGCAGGCATTCGACAATGTTGAGATGCAACCTCTACGACCAAACATTTTCGATTTTTCTCGCCATTAAAGTACCATGCGTATTAGCTACACGTCATCTCTGCCTAAAGTGTAACTCGGTGTCCATATACGTGCGTACATACACAGATTGTTCAAAAAGTGACAAACTTAGACAATCGCAAAGAATCTCCGGGGCAAACTGAGCTTCTAAAACTTCCAGTGCGGACGCTGCTATTGGTCCATGTAGCATGGGCCGTGTGGCCTTTGCCACGCGAACCAATAGCAGCGTCCGCTCCGGAAGTTCTAAGAGCTCAGTTTGCCCGGAGCTTCTTTTGCGATTGTCTGAGAATGTTGGTGCTCAAACTTTTTTTTTACAAATCTTAGTTCGCCATTATTTATTTATTTATTTATTTATTTGTTTATTTTGTGCATTCATAGATGCTCCTGACGAACGTGGTTAGTGCAAAAAAATTTGAACGAAACAGAAGAATACTGCTAATCATAGACGGTATCTCCAGCAGCCAGAGTAGAACCTAAATTCGGAAAAACAAGCTTGGCCCACTAATTCAACAACGTAAACCATGGTGTGAAACCATAAGCGAATCACTTTCAAGCGAATCCAAGGAAGCACCAAAGCGAATCGGCGAATCCATGCGTGCTCGGCGGAAAACCTCTTTCAGCTTCCTCTTACATCGCTACCATGAGAACAAGTAAAAGTTAAATTAAATGGGATGGCATGGAAGAATATTGTGTACGATCCAAAGTAGCTTCTAAGCAAAAGTGACTACCGGAGACAAACTGGGATATGGGTTAGTACAACAATCGTAACGTTCAAAAAGATTCATAGCTCAGAAGGCTATAAAAGTCAGCACTTGCAGCACAAGAGAAATCTTATTCGTTTTCAGATTGTCTCAGTAGGAAGGATAGGTCAATTGCATTGATTTTACGCCTAAATACGTTTGTAGATGAGGGTCTGCATTGCAATTTCTGGTAACAGTCTAAGCCATCGGGGGATTCTGTAAAACCAACTATTAAAAGCCCAACGAAAACGCTTCCTGTAAGTAAGTAAATAATGAATGTTAAACCCGCCATTTCTGTCTGTAGGTCTAAAAATCCAGTATTTACTTGGGGAAAGTCTTAATTCCTTATGCAGAAGCCGGAAACCAAAAACGAGATTAAAAAAATCGTCTATGTTCTAAACTTTTCATCGCCGAAGCTTGAGGCGATTTTCGTAGCTCGGCATATCGAGAAAATTGAGTTTTCTATGACATTTCAGATAAATTACGAGTAAAAGTCTGTTGAACTTTTTCCAGCTTCAAAATATTTTTCTTCAAAAAAGGATTCCATATTATAGAACAATATTCCAAATGTGACAACGCGTAAGCTTGGTAGAGACGTTTGAGGATCATCGGGTTGTCGGTATGTACGCTACGAAAAATCGCAAATAAAATCGAACAAGCTTTATTTAGTACATTATCAATATGAGCAGAAAAATTCCAGTCGGAATCAATCAAAACGCCCAAGTCTTTGGCACTGGAACAATTTCTCAGTTTGTTTCCATTTATCTCATAGATTAGAATTCCAAGATCTCCAAAATGCATGGCCAAACTTCCTAAAATCGATAGGAATGCCTAAACAAGCCGCTCAATGCATCATTTTCTCAAGGGACGCAATGCGCATCTGACCTCAGCTTAATTCTTCGCATTATAAAATCCATAAAATTTTATATCATCGGCATACAGAATTGTAATATTTGTTGATGTTTTCAAAATGCTTGGAAGCTCGGCTATACACCAGAAAAAGCAAGGGAGACAGTACTGCTCCTTGTGGGATACCGCTTGTGCAGCTGAATCGCTCCGAAAACTGATGCCCTACACGAACCGCCATTCCTCTATTCAAATAAGATTTCAGCCATTTCAAAAGATTTACACTCAAACCAAGACTCTCACATTTTGACAAAAGTATCATACGGTTCATTTTGTCGAATGCCTTGGACAGATCTATGTAAATGACATCGACAGAGTTACCTCTGTTGAGTGCCAAATCCAATTAAAAACGAATTCGGCGAGATTCGTCATTGTAGACGAACCCGCCATGAAACCATGCTGATTCGTAGTGATTACATTGAATTTTGCAAACCAGTTCGAAAGCTTATCACGTACTACTTTCTCTATTATTTTTGCTGCGGTAGGTACCAAGATGATAGGCCGGAAGCCCGAAAGGACTTTAGCGTTAGAAACTTTAGGGATCGCAGTTACCAACGCCTCCCTCCAGACCTGCGGCACTTCTCCAAGCATCAATGATATGTTGAAAATATGCGCAAGAGGAGTACAAAGGGATGAAGCGCATTTTTTTGAAAACAATTTGCGGAATACCGTCGTACGTCAATAGAGGAAGTTCTCCTGATTATCATCCGGATCTCTGAGGGATCGAAGTAGACAGTAGAAAGGCAGTGATAAACAGTGGGAACTGTAGAGAATTCCGAAGGCACAATTTGATCAATTTAATGGATCCAATTCAATGGATTCAACTGGCCGCATGCATTAACATCCCCGCCGGGGAGGGGATCACAGCTTCAAAAGAAAGCTTCGTATCCTGAAGCTCCAGAAATCTGGATTCCACGCTGTCTACCTGTCCGTAAGTACTCCCACAATCCCTCACTATGAACATCTTGAACGGGAGCAAGAAGCTGTACAAGCCGCATTTTCCTGCTTTTTGCATGTTCCCTGATGATTCCCGGTGCTTTTCTTCAAAGTCATCTTTCTCTCTCCGAAGCTAAAGGAAATCTTCCAGTTGTGCAGATTATCTAACCGAATAGTGTAAACATGTTGCTGCACAAATGAATTTTTGAAAAATCGATTTTTCCGATAAACCCCAACTTCCGACTTGTGGTTCATCACAAATTTCACGACTTCGCAACACCACTAGTTCTTATCAGAAACATGATTAGCACTGTTGGGTTACATAAACAGCATAACCTTGGATTGTTTTAACTGACTTTGAAAAAAGAAAAATGATTTTATAGAAAAGACGGTTGGCAGCCAAGGATCATCAGGGGATCGAACAAAAAGCCGGAGAATGCGGCTTGTACAGCTTCTTACTCCCGTTCAAGTTCACAGTGAAGGATAGTAAGAGTACTTACGGATAGGCAGACAGCGTGAAATCTAGGTATCTGGAGCTTAGAGATATGAAGCCTTCTTCTGAAGCTGCGATCCCCTCCCCAGCTGGGATGTTAATGGCGGCCTTTAGAATTCGTTTTGTGGGGGAACGAATAAACCCTCTCCATTACTGTACGATAATCTCCTAGTAGGTTAGCGTTTGTTAGCTGCAAGATAACGATCCAAACAATTTGGGCACTTCCGTGGCAAGAGTTTTGAATATGAGTAACGACATTGTGGCGCCCCTTCAACAGGATACTCAAAGTTCCAAAGAACTTAGAGGAAACTATAGCATACCTGACTCAACTTTGTAACTAGTTCTTTTTATAACAAGTTTGATTGGCTTGGTGGCAAAATTTCGACCTCTTCGCCATCTTTATTGCTGAAAGACTCGGCTATGGCGCAAAAAGCTCTCAACTTTATCCGACGCTAACGAAAGGCAATCGTCAGACATTTATGGCGAGCACTCCCCGACCACTTACGGA